ATTATGTTTCTCCAAATGCTCATTGGCCGATATTTTATGATGTATAGGGCCCCTATGTTTTCAGATATACAATTCCTTGAACAGTACGCAACACTTGGTGGCCTAGGTTGGATTCCGGAGAGGGCTTGACGGCCAGGCAAAGGGAGGACAGGTGCCCTCACAGTTTCTGAAGTTCACACAGCTCATAAAAAGGTTGGGTTTGGCCCTGTTCAAGATTTTTTCTGATCAATATTTTTCCCGGCTAGGTGGCGTATCAGTGACGAACGCCGTGCGATCGTGGAATCCATGACCCCAACAGAACAAAAACGCAGGAGGTTCACCTAGGCTGCAATAGATTTTTCAACATCTTTCGTTCCAAGGTGTGTGTGTGTGAATCCACACGCATACAAATTGTGTTTGTGGGGCCTGTGCGGCCAATTGTGTCGGGGGTGAGGATCAGCAAGGCTGATCCGATCACAACATGGTATCTCGTGTTGCGAATGCACATGGAAAACAAAACCGAATCTCATCAGAATGGAGTGACCCTCCTATGTTTGTTTGGAGAATCCGGCAGTCCTGCTCTCCAGTTTGATGATGTCCACAGCATAAGTGAACTTGATGTTGATGTCCATAACATAAGTGAACTTGATGTTGATGTCCAGCGCATAAGTGAACTTGATGTTGGTGTTCACCACATTCCTCAGATCTGGATCAAAGTTCCCCCAGCACGTGGAACCCAAAATGCAATACTCCAAGCTCGCGGTGATTCTTACCATTCTCGTGAAGAGCCCCTTGGCAAATTAAAATACAGGATCCAAAAAATAATGGCTACAAATTGTCTTTACCACTACAAACAAAAATGGTTACCCGAATGTAGATAAGTAGATAGACGGATAAGTAGGTATACATATATATATATAGACAGATAGACAGATAGATAGACAAATAGATAGACGGCTAGATAGATAGATAGATAGATAGATAGATGGAAAGATAGATGGAAAGATAGATGGATAGATAGATAGATAGATAGACAGATTAGTTATATATACCCACCTTGACTAAGGTTTGGGTGAAGTTGGCGACCCTTCGCAGATCACTGACTTCTGCGAGATCTGTGCAGGTTTGATCGGGCTTTGGGGGTTGCTTTGATATGAGTATAGCTTATCAATAGTTCATCAAAAATTGCCCCGTAGAAAGTCTGTGATGCTTAGCTAAAAAATTGTTTGGGGTTTATGTGTTCTCCTAAATGGTGCCTATTTTGCCCAGCTAGCAGGACAACATATTCTTCACAGTGGAGTTCAACTTGCAGGCCTGAAGAGCCGAGCTTTTGATGTACCATGACTGCAACCGTGTTTAAAGACATAAGGTCATCATATGCACATGGTCATAAACTTTTTAACCATGGGAAAACTTGTTAGTTTGGGTGGCCCTGGCTAGTGCAAACTTCACCCAAGGTTGACTACAGTCGGAAGATGAACCTCCTGTCCAGCTTTGGTTTCTTATTGTGCCTGAATTATGTTACTCTGGTGGCAGTGGATACTAAAAATACCAAAGATGCACTGGACAATGTTTAAACTTCCATTGATTGGTGCCCCATGTAACTGGCTGAGATTCGCCACCTGAAACAAAGTGGATGCGCATGGTTCGCCATTCCATGCAGCAGCTGGGTATGGATGACACTTGGTTTATTCAGATTGCTTTGCATTCAAAGAGTTTTCGTTGTACAACCATATATGCGAAACTTAGGAGTATGGGTTCATCCATGCGGTCGTATCTACGGCCACAGGGGTGGAGCGAAAAACGCTGCACACAGATCGGCAACCGTCTTGCCCGCAGGCTTTGTTAGATGTCAGTCTCTTAATCAGGGTTTAAAATGCTGCCAAAGAAACGCCTGCAAAGTCACAGTTGTATCCAAAGGCAATGCAGTCATAGGCATCTCTCAAATTGCTAGGTTGGAGCTGTGCTTCCGCAAAAAGGTATTCTACATTATTGAGCAGCCCCAGAGCAGCCTGTTATTTCAATACAAGCCTCTGAAAGATCCTTGCATCTTTTTGGATATTCTTTTGGTGGAACCCTGTTCACAAGATTTTGGTAACCCTTTGATAAACCGGAACTTTGGGTGAAGCATATATAGGTTTCCATGAAAATAATTTCACCCTCACTAACTGCCCTATATTTGGACTGCCCAACTAAGAAGCTCCTGCTACGTCATGGAGCACGTATGGGCCAATGCTCCCTTGGAGGGTATTTTGCACCTACATTGAAGCCAGCAACCCATCAGCACTGATGACAAATATCCATGTTTTCTACAGATTTGGTTTTTATTATATACCCACATTATGTTATCTTTCAAGTGGCCAAACCCACCAAATAGCCAATCAGTTAAAGTTGTAATCTACAATCCCTTTCCTATATATTATATATATATCCTTATATATACTCCCAGGTCTGGTTGATACATATTATTCACCAGCCCAAATCTGAGGTGATTCTTTATGGAACTGCACCTTTCTTGGAAAACCTTGTGGATATCACGCCATTCAGGTTCAGGAGGTGATTGCATGGGTGCAGTGGTGCTCCCACATTTTTGTACAAAAATGATATGGTTTTGTTCCAAATTGAAGTTTCATGTCAAACACTTCCAAGAAACAGGAAAAACCTTCACTTCCGCTCATTTGTTTTTTTGCGCCCATGGGGTTTACACCCGGCATACAGGCAACAACTCCGACGCATTCGCTCCTTCTTGAAGCTGAACATTGCGCGTACTTACTTGGATCGTGCTGGACGGAAACGGGTTGTAAGATACTCAGACATGGGGGATCACCCTGTCAAGTAAATTGTTAGCAAATGGGGTTACAACTAAATCTGAAAACTTCGTATATATCATTGCTTAAAAGGTTGGATACACCCAGATTTATAGTGGATTTATTTTGGTTTACAAATATATCTATGTCGGGGCTGTCAGTCCATTCACGACAAAGTGTCGCACAGTCTATTCATCTGATGTTTGTAATTACTGTCTTTCAATTTCAGCTTTAACAATTGTACCCTACAGATCCCCAAGATTGGTGGGAAGCACCTCCGGTCCACCCAACAATACCCGGGAAACCTGGGTATCCGCGTCGCTTGGTTTAAGATGATGGGTAAGGAATTTTGCCTTGAACTTGTGCTTCAAAAAATGATTATTTTTGAAACCCCCATCCAATATATATAGTGGATTTCTTGAAGTTTTAGAGGGGAGCCCAAAACCAACCCATATATTATAAGCCTCGTGTTCTGGATTACTTTTTCGGTTTATATAAGGAAACCTTTTACAGCCATCATCATCTTGATTTACTTCTGGCTCATATGCCAATCGGACATCAGAGTAATCACAAAAATACTAAAGATATCTGTCTATATCTTTGTGCATTTATTTATTTAGGAATATATTCGCATACATGTATTGTATATATATTGAAAATATTATATAATAATTTATAATATATTTATATATAGAATATCATATTACACCCTTTCGAGATCTATACCTGCCCCCATGCAGCCAAGGTGGGTGAGGTTCTTGCTGAGCACATGCAGTCGGTGAAGAGGGAAGATCAACAGCCAATTCCTGACCAGGGAATGCGCTTTCAAGATGTGGGCGATGATTCCAGTGACAGCGGGCTGGAAAGCATCATTTAAACCATTTTTAGCGAACCTTAATTTACCTTCTGGGCTTGGCATCACTGAGAACATATCGTTGCTGGGATTCTCAAAGCCTTTTAAAGATAAATCACATAAGACTTGTTGCTAAGGTGATGTCATGTTAGGCCCGGAGATCTGATCGATGCAGGTCAACTGCACTGACTTACATGGGGATAAAACCACGTGCTCATTGATTTGTTTTAAATTCGCAGGCTTGTCATATACAAACCATATGAGCCAGAATGATCATGTAGCACACGAAATGCCACGAATTGCCACGAAGTGACTATAAGTGACACGGAATGACACGAAATGACACGAAATGACACGAAATGACACGGAATGACACCGAATGACACCGAATGACACGAAATGACACGGAATGACACGGAATGACACGAAATGACACGAAATGACACGGAATGACACGGAATGACACGAAATGACACGGAATGACACGGAATGACACGGAATGACACGGAATGACACGGAATGACACGGAATGACACGGAATGACACGGAATGACACGAAATGACACGAAATGACACGAAATGACACGGAATGACACGGAATGACACGGAATGACACGAAATGACACGGAATGACACGGAATGACACGGAATGACACGAAATGACACGGAATGACACGGAATGACACGGAATGACACGGAATGACACGGAATGACACGGAATGACACGGAATAACACAGAATGACACGAAATGACACGGAATGACACGGAGTGACACGGAGTGACATGGAATGACACGACATGACACGGAATGACACGGAATGACATGGAATGACACGGAGTGACACGGAGTGACATGGAATGACACGACATGACACGGAATGACACGGAATGACACGGAATGACATGAAACAAACAAAAAAACATTTTTGGGGGGGACCCGGGGGACCGTGTCATTTCGTGTCATTTCGTGTCAACGGCATCATATGGGACATGAAAACGTGTCAAAACGTGTCAGCCCGTGCCCCAAATTTGCCATTCCCGAAGTGGGCTATAGGAACCTTTTTTTTGGGACCCCGGGGGACCGTGTCATTTCGTGTCATTTCGTGTCAACGGCATCATATGGGACATGAAAACGTGTCAAAACGTGTCAGCCATGTGCCCCAAATTTGCCATTCCTGAAGTGGGCTACTTGAACCTTCTTACGTACCAGGGACATGTTGTTTCACTAGATGTCGTATCATTTCGTGGCATTTCGTGTCAACAGCATTCTACAGATTCACAATAGCCACCCACTAGCTTTTGCAACATTTTTGATCAAGTGATTTGTATGTAGGCTAAAAGGACCTTTCACCTGTTGGGCATGGCCAGCAGCTACGCTCTAGCAAAAGGTGACCTTTCCAAGGGGAAGTCGAAATCAGACTTCATGAAAGGCAAAGCTGTGACCGTTGAGGGGGGAGGCAAGACCCACACAAGTGACCCCTTTGGTGGTAAACCCAAGGGTGCCAGCAAGTCGTCCCACATCGGCAAATCCTCCGATCCCAATCATGATAGCATAGTGGATGTTAGCTACAAGGGTGCCAAGGGCAAGCCTGACATTTCCAGTGGCTATACCAAGGGCAAGACCGACCCAACCAAGGGTTACAAAGGCCATGGTGACATGAAGGGCAAGTCGAGTGGTGTCGATGTTGGGAAAAGTTCCGGTAAGTCAACTGGACCTGCTGATGAAAAGACTGGGACCAAAGGTGATCATGCCAAGGGTTATCATAGTTCCAAGTCGGGGGATTTTTCCAAGGGCAAGACTGAGTATGCCAAGGGCAAGAACAACACGGACTATGTCAAGGGCAAGGCCGACGTGACCAAGGGTTACAACAAGGGCTCCACCGAAGAGATGGGAAAAGGTAAGGCCAAATGTGGGGTGGTTGGAAACAGTTGCGGAAATGAGGGAAAGGGTCATGTGGACCAGACTTCTGGGAATGACAACACTGAGACCATGGGTGACCACGCAAGTGGCTACAACACCAAGGGCTACGGCAAAACTGAGTATGCCAAGGGCAAGAACAACACGGACTTTGTCAAGGGCAAGACCGACGTGACCAAGGGTTACAACAAGGGCTCCACCGAAGAGATGGGAAAGGGAAAGACAAAATGTGGGGATGTTGGAAGCAGTTGCGATGAGTCAATTGGGAAGGAAAAGGGTCATGTGGACCAGAATTCTGGGAATGACGACACTGAGACCAAGGGCAACCATATCACCAAGGGCTACCATTCCAAGTCGGGGGATTTCTCCAAGGGCAAGACTGAGTATGCCAAGGGCAAGAACAACCCGGACTATGCCAAGGGCAAGACCGACGTGACCAAGGGTTACAAGGGCTCCACCGACGAGATGGGAAAGGGTAAGAGCAAATGTGGGAATGTTGGAAAATGTTCCGGTAAGTCCAGTGGATCTGCCGACACCGAGGCCAACCAGGACAAGATGGGCTATCACAGCAAGGGTTATAAGGGCTACAGTTCCAAGTCGGGTGATTTCTCCAAGGGCAAGACTGAGTATGCCAAGGGCAAGAACAACATGGACTATGCCAAGGGCAAGACTGATGTGACCAAGGGTTACAAGGGCTCCACCGACGAGACGGGCAAGGGTAAGACCAATGTGGGTGATGATGGCCCAACAAGTTCTGGGAGCAAGGGATCTGCCACAGAGACATGGGACCACACCCCCCCCAATCCTGACGACTCAAAGGACTGTATACAGTTGTGATCTGGGGGACCGAGTACCATATCGCATATATGTACCAATTCCCAATTGTTTCACAAGGTATAACCATACCTCACTATAGTTCATGATTACATATTATATTTCTATATATATATAAGCACACATATACATACATACATACATACATACATACAGACAGACAGACAGACAGACAGACAGACAAACAGACAGACTGACTGACAGACAGACATACAACATACAAACATGCATACATACGTACGTACGTACATACATACATACATACATACATACATGCATGCATACATACATACATACATACATACAAATATATATGTGTGTGTTTAATTGTATATATTGGATATGCAAAAATATTTATCATCTAAAAACCCATATATCTTTACAAATATATATATATATGTGTGTGTGAAATATCAGCCTTCTCCGCAGGACAAGCTGCCGCCAACTCTTGCCAGTGGCAATGGTGTTTTGATGGAAGAGGACAAGGACGTATCAGCCACCAAACTTATGGACGACCATGAGAGGAAAGTCAAACATTGGCTTAGCAGGGCACCTTACCATCTTTTGGAGAACGCAGTTGAAACCGCACGTGCCCACACATATTTCCCAATCTTCGAGAGAGACCTTTGGGCTTCCATGGGGAATCATGCTTTTGGAGCTAAGCCTATGGAGGATGTTCTCAAGTTCGACATGTGGCTGAAGAAATGGGAAATTTCGGAAACCAAGAAATCGATTCCTGCACCAGCCCCAGCAGCCCCGGTGAAAGAAGAGACCACAGCCTCGGAGTTTCCACCCCCCAAAAACCCAGAGGCCTACAAGGAGTATTGGAAGAAGTTTGAGAGAAAGGATGCTTCTTCTACACTGTCACTTGCCAGTACTGAGTCTCCGCCGTCCAGGGAAAGTGGGACCCCGTCTACACCCAGCCCTTCAGTTGCTTCGGACTCGACGACTGGACTCACACCAGACTGCAAACGGAAACTGGCTTTGGAAGGCTGGGGATTTAATTTCATCTTTTCAAAGTTAGATTTCTGAAACCCTCTTTACACAATGCTTCATTTTTGTTGGGACATCCATGAGACTTTTGCGACCGATAATATTTGAGATCTCCTGCATGCAGGTGCTGAAGCGGGTGAACGGTTGGATTCTCAAAGTTGTTTCTTCCAAGTTTACCCAGTGCTTTTTTTAATGATAGCACATACTCATTATACTGGCATGCAATATATATATAGTGTGTGTGTGTGTGCCCAACTCATTTTACAACCACTTCTGTTTTTCAAGTCGTTTTTTGTTAACAAACAATCATCTTAAAACAACCTGCATCGATCATGAGGCCGGCCCTCGTGCGCCGAAGCACCAGTGTCATGAGCGATGGTTCTGGTGATGTGGACATGGAACGTCTTGGGGATGGGAAAACCCGGAGGGCTGGGGTCTCAGCTAGCATATATATATATGTATACATATACAGTATATTTACATGTGGAACATTATGTGACCACAAAAAAAACTGTATAGATGATGTTTGGGACTGCTAAGGTCAAGACACTGACTGCGGAGGATGCCGAGCGAATCAAGGTGGACCAACCAAGTATTTTTGCCAATCCATTTTTGCAAAAACAAACTTCCAAAATAAACATACACTTGAAGAATAGAAAAACTTTCTGGACGGGAATGATTATTTGTTTTAGCGGCATCATCGAAAAGTGTAGCATAGTTTGACCCATAGTTTTCATATCGCGTGTTTTTGCTTGCCAGGCCATGACCAGCATTGAGGACCTACCTGCAGACGAACGCAAACGTCAGCGGGAAGCTTTTCGAAGGCGACTTGCTCAACCTGGATTAAGGCCTGGCCTGATCCAGAAATGGCAGGCATGTCATGACCAACAATCGAAATTCAAATTCCTCCAGGCATTTATGTTGGACCCCCAGTGCCTCGGAAGTATCCAGATAGAAGCAGAGTACGTCAACCAAGCCGAACATGAGGACAGCAGTCAGTGGGCCGAATTGCCTCTTTCGACCCTACGCAAGCAGTTCACCTCACCTGAGGAAAAGGCCTTCCTAGAAAACCAAGTTGTTGGAAAACAGTCTGGACGTGAGCACCCCCAAGATCCCTCGAACCCGGAAATGAGGCTTTACTGGATTTACCGGCAGACCACCGACACCACGAAGAACTTACAGCGTGTTGGGAATCGTTTGTCAGGGAAGGGGAATGTCCCGGCCAACAAGGCCGCAGTCCAGGCTTGTGTTGATGGCATAACTGGGTTCGCTTCGGACTTTGGCAAGGGCAAGGGGGCCCCAGAACCGACTGTGGTTGGGAAAGGAAAAGGCAAAGGGAAGACCAAGAGCGGAGAACCTCCCGAGAAGAAACGCAAGGCCCACCTGAGAAGAAAGCTGTTTGCATGGTGCCCAACCTGTATCCTTTTGGGGTTTGTGAATAGGGGTTTTGTGAACTATAATATATGGGTATATATATATATATAATTACAAACTTTATACTATATATGGTTTTGGATTTTTCGTTTTTAAAGGATCATCATACAAATCTGAATTGAAGTATTTTTTGGTCATGCAATTTTCCCCTAAACCACCCATGGACCAGTCCTTCGTCCAAATTGGCCCAATGACGATTTGCATTCCTTGGCAGGTGAAATCCCCAGAAGAGATCCGAAAGAAGAACTTCAGCGAAAAGCTGGAGAAGCCACACCCTCAAAAAGAAGTATGGAAATCCTTAAGTGCTATCATGTCTTAACAATCAGTGTATCATTCTACAAGTCGAAATTCCTATACATTACTTTTGGACTATACCTGCTCTTGTATTGAAATCAAATGGGTGTTGAATTCCTTGGCTGAGGGTTGGAAAACTGGCTACGAAAGCTAGATCGGTGGCTGAAGCTGTCTCGAACAGCGGGATTGCGCATCAGGAGGCGCTGGACCTCATGCATATATTTTTTCATGTGTACACCATCCATATATGTTTATATATATATACATTCGGTATGATATATATATATATCAATATGATATGCATGATATATATATATGTATATATATATATAAACATATATACATACATATATATATATATAAACATGTATATATATATATAATACATTGACATACTCCAATTGGAGGCTACAGTTGGGAGCCTGCGGGATATCTTCGCCAAGCTGAACCAGATCAGCAAAGAGTTCGGGCCCCAAAGTTGGTTATTTTTTGACCACATTGGTTTTTAGATCTTATGCTTGAAGAAACCTGTGCTCACATACTGAGGATATCTGATGATGTCTTCAGAATGGTGTCCTTTGAAGTGTGCGAAGCTGCGTTGGACAAGCATGATGATTTTCTTGAGGCCCGTATAGCTTTGACACATCTTGGTTTTACCAATCTATATCCCATTCAATTCTAGCTCCAGTGGTGGGTCAATAACCCCAAGCAAATGCATATCTAGAGATCTATATTTTGAAGAGTTCATAATGGTGGTATCAGAATGTATCAGAGTTCGAGCAGTTGGGATTGTATCCGCTCAACGCAGACGGCGGCAAAACAAGTCAAAGAAGCTGAAGGGATCAAGGAAAGCCATGATCGCCGTCTGGTTCTCAACATACCAAGTTTGCTGAATCCCCCTACAATAATCATTTGTAAGCTGTGTCCTGGTCAAAACCCTCTCAACCCCATGCAATGGATGAGTTAAGATTAAAGTCACTGCTACTCAATTATGAACCATATACTTACAAGTTGGATTTTTTAGGGTTGAAAGCGTTCAAGAAAAACGGAGAAAAACATGTCTCAGAAACGGTATTAATATGGCATATCCTTCCAACCCCAGTTTGATCACTGCAAGACCCGGCCATCAGCCCATTTGAGGTATCGCAGCAGAGAAGCGAAAGGCCGAAAAGGCCTTGCAGGCAAAGGCGGGTGTGAAGGCCAAAGCCAAGGGGAAGGCCAAGCCCAAAGCGGCCGTGGCTCCTACTTGGGGGAACGAGGATGTGCCTGATGAATGGCCAGCTGATGATGACTTAGAAGGTGAGAACGATGAGGAGTTAGATGGTGAGGAGCTGAATAGCGGCGATGAAGGTCTCTAGAAGCCTTTTTTGAAATGTGAAATGATTTGTTGGAATACCAACATGGTTATTGGGACAGGGCACCCTACTGGGGAAAATGTAGCGGACCTGTCAGCTTAGTCACCAGAGATCGAAAGGCCCGTGCAAACATGTGTCTAAAAGTGCGCTGTCTCGACCCATCATTCGAGCAACAGAGCTTCTGTTCATGTCGAGATGTTCCAAAGGATAGTTATTTTGAATTTCGGTCACAAATCCACATCAATCATTGATTTTTCATTTTTGAACACTGCTGCCATTTCCTGAAGAATTCAATTGAAATGCCTAGTTTTTCCAATTCCGGGAGAGATGATCCCAATGATTTGCAGCAAGCCATTCATGGTTTGGTGGCTGAATTCTTTGAAATGTTGGGAGATGGAGAGGCCGGGTCACTTACCATGTTGTTCTTTGTATATATATATACTGGTTGGCCTGAAAATGGAACAAAGAATTGTATGTCCAAAAATGATACATAGTGTTAGGGGGTGTTCATATTCAGACAAACCCAAGTATATATTTTTATGCACACATATCATATGTAAATAAATAAATATAAATAAATGAATATATATATATATACATAAAAGTCATTAATGTATGTATCGTTTCTAAAATCGGGCATTCATGATTCACCACATTGACCACTAAAACATTCGGCAGCCAGCCCCCTGCCAGGTCCAGCTGCAACGGATCCAATCCCTTCTATGCCCAGCCCTCATTTGTTTTTTCAGTTCAGATCACCCATGTTCTAAATGAAAAATTCTTGTGGTTGAAACTGCGATATGGAATTTTATGAGGGGTTTGAAAGAATCTGAAATGAATCGAGATCGAAAATTTTATCCCTTAGATGTTGCCCGCAGCAAGGCCGATTGGAGAAGCTTCCTCACCCTTTGATACCGCCGCCCGACTTAAGTGGATGGATCACCCAAAATTGTCGCAAAGCTTTTTGAAAATTCCCATGTATACTTTATTGATTGATATGTTCAATTCTGATTGGATGGTTCCTCTATTGTGTTCACTTCTGACCTTTTCACTTCTGACCTTTACCTTGCCCCAGGGAACCGGTGCTCGCCCTGGTCGAATCCCTCCGATGCCGGGCCCGTGGGCACTCTTGGGGGTCCGGGCAGATTCTTGAGCGGTGGACTCATTCCCAGCCTTGGCGCGGCTGGGTGGCAATCCCTGGTCTTTAAAATAGAGGTGGTTAAATGTTCTTTCAAGACAAACCAGTTTCAGTCAATTCCAGACAGAAAAATAGATCGATGGCTGTTAATTGATTTCAAAATCCATTATTACTTTGTTGTCCAAACAATGTTGGCTGCCAAATGCTCTGAGGAAAAGCCCTTCCATTGCCATTTCAGACTCTTGTTGGCATAAGGTCTAAACCGAACATGCCTATTGATTTAAAATTCAAAACTGGAAAACAATAAATCGGCATTTTTTTTCAGATGCTGTGCTCAGGTTTCCAGTGCCAATATATTGCGATGATGCTTGGGGCCCCCGAGAGAGCACAGGGAGTCACAGCATGTTCTTACCGCACGAGATTGTGGGAACATTTTATCGATATGCCCCTGTAGATTTGATGGTCCGTTTGACCGGTCAACCTGGGGAACCTCAGCTCGATAAGATGTCATCATATCTCATATGTTTTCTTTTGGTTCCATCCTATCTTTTATATAATGTTTTTTCCCATCCTATGGGGATTCGATCCTGATATATTGATTTACTTTTGGTGGTTTCCCCAGAGGATTGCAGACCTGCAAATAGTCAACCAATGTCCAATCCCAAAATTTCTTTCCAAGCCCCCAATTCCCCGTTTGAGGAATTGACGAAATTCTGGCACGATGAGATGGATACTGCCTGGTATCGCGAGCACCCGATTCTTCAGGCAAGGGAGGGGTATAACAGTACAACAAACCTGTACACAATTTAGAAAAATCGCTATACATATATATATGTTATTTATATTTATTTTATATTTATATCCATCGGCTCTATTTAAATCATCATTTTGTTTCTCCATATCTTTTCGATATATGTATTTTCAGTATATGTATCGACCTACATGACCTACATATGTATATATATAGTCGCAAATATACTTATCTATTCTATCGGTCTATCTATCTGATCTATCTATCGATCTATCGGTCGATCGACCTATCGATCTACCAATCTATCACCCAATCAATCTATCTTTGTTTATTATATGCATGCGGGTCTGTCTATCAATTATATCGTCTATCCATATGGCAATATTACGAGGCGAACGATCCTGCCAAAGTACTTCCTCTTCGGATATTTGGGGATGGTGCGGAAAGCCATAGATACTTGGAATAAAAGGGAACTCTCAAATGTAAATTGAGGGAACGCATCCGGATATCACAAAAAGATTGCCCAAAAAACATTTGAAAACATATGATTATAATTGTTGTTTGCATTATCCGTGCATTATCCGGGATACCAGCATACATATACCCAAGGAAATTTATCTCAGTTCTGGTTTTACCGAGTCAAACCCAACTCGAAAATCTGATCTCCTGTTTCAATCAAAACACACATCCAACCGTTGAGGAAAACAGAAGTTCGAGATGATCAGCTTGGTTCTACCCTTGGCGGCCTCCTCATCAACGATGAATTCCCGGATCATGCTGCATGGCTTCGGGTGCTAGCTGCACACCACTTCAATGGTTTTTTTGATTCTTTACACTGAAACATTTTTTTTGACCAATTGATGAGGTTGTCTTGCATGAGTGCGACCTATTGCAACGAAAATTCAAGAGTCAAGATACTGGAGACCATTGCTTGGAGTTTCGAAGCGTTGGGCAACTTTTTTGGAAATACATTACAACTCTTTTTTTGGAGGGGGCTGCAACCACCAGTTTAAATTGAAATTATTGTTATCCACATATGATTTTTCTTTTATTATTCTGGGCATCAAAGATTTTTTTTACATATGTATTTTCCCGTAGTTCGAACTCTATAGATATATTTGCCATACATCCTATGCGGAATTTACTATTACTGGACCCTTGACACAAGAAACTTTCCAGATCCTTGTGGCTTCCCAGGTACTGGAATTTTTCCCACTCATGACCCATGGGGAGTGCCATTTTCGGCTACCTACTGCAAGGAGCGTTGGAAGCTGGGGGGCACACGGATCGCAGGTGATTTTGTTGGCTGTTTGGAAGGGATCCAGGGCGATCAAGACTACATCAGGGCAATGATGACACCTTTCCGTTCCTCAACTGGAAGTACCAGCCATTTTTTCCAAGTCATATAGTTGTTTTTTAACCTGTTTTACAGGAGTACCAGCCCGAAAGAGCGCACAATTAAGCACTTGTTTTCTTGAGCCATTGCACAAGGAGTAGATGTTACAACAAGGTATATATATATATGAGATGTATAAGAAACAGATTAATCGCACCGCCAGATTTCCAAGGTTTCTACTCCAAACAGCAATGCTGCTATTATTGCCGGGCCCTGGCTTGGATCTACGAGAGTGACAATCCAGAATGTGCTGAATATCTCTACACAAATTTTGGGAGGGAAGCCGCCCATCGAAGAACGCTACATGGTCTGCAAATTCATCACTAATAAACTTTCTGAAAAACTAGATTTGATTAGAAGTTGAGCTCCCGGCTAGTATACAGTAAGAATTCTTACAAGTTTCTGATATGGTTTTCTCATAAATTTACATGTGGATTGTCCTCCAAAAAACAAACATATATGGCGGCCTGAATCTTCAAACTGCCTTTTCTGTTTTTATGTTGTTCTTATGAAGCAATTCTAGGTTGGTGTCCAGAGAAGAATGGATGGACATCAGCACTCCGTCACCCATATGCAGAATACCCGGATGGACCCCATGGAGACGCTCTTCCAAACATAGCATTTTTGAATCGAAATTTACACTTTTGATTTGGTATTTGCATGATGCAACGTTCTATTATACACAAAGATTCTGATAAGTTAGCTTGGGTCGGGACACCAAAAATATATAGGCCTGCAGGCAAACCATTTTCCACTACGGCCCAGGAATACTCCCGGACCAAATGCACTTGGTGCACCTTACGATAGCACCTGATGTGATCATTTCGTGCTTGCTGGATTGGACTGACAACGAAGACTATGTTTCTGGGAACACCAGGGACCGACGCCTGGAAGTGCTTTGGGAGAATTACCGTGGTTGGTGTGAGGAAAACCAGATCAGTGACAGGGCCCAAAGGAAGCTTTTCAGTGTGGGAGTACTAACCCCAGATGCTCCTGGTTATGTTGAAGTGTCTCAAAAACGACTCAATGCTACTGGTGCTCGCTACATGTTGTTCTGGCTTGCACATGTTGCAAAAGACTACGCTATGAGCCATGGGACGGATGCCGACATGCACCTTTCAAATAGCATGAACCCTATACGTTTTTTTTGTGGGTTTGATACTGACTGGCTTGCAAAGGTTTCACATTTTACCCCATCAACCAGATTATCATTTTCCGGGATAGCCTGGCTTGCATGGACCCAGGTACCGAGCTGGTGCTGCATGTGGGCTTGCTGAAATGGAGACCATCAGTTTGGAAGGTTCGAGGAGGTTGACTCAATCTGAATGGGTCAAGTTTGAAGAAAGCTACCTCTGTTACCGAGCGAGTCATAACCATTTGGTAGACATGGCCATTGGTGCTGGACTGCCAAGATGGCATGTTAGGCCAAAAGGCCACTATTTGGAGCATGCGGTCTACGATTTCCAAAGGAAAAACCTGCGATACATGTCCAATTTTTTAGATGAGGACATGATCCGACGTACAAAAAAAATGGCATTAGCAGCCCACCCAAGGCATGTTTCAAAACATGTGTTGTACAGATATGCGCTTTCAGCTACTCTTCGATGGTCTGGAATGATCAGGTGAAAAAGACAAATCCGAGAACTGAATTGTTTAAAGGGTATGGTATGGGATGGTTCTCCAGGATTAAACAGATCCATTTGTTTAAACCCCTTTGAAATCTTGGTTAACATCAACTTCGATATTTATGGGTGAACAATTTTAAAGGAATATATATATATATATATATCCCCGTTTCCCTCGAAAGTCTTTTGGGTTGAAGATTTTTATTGGGCGCAGGGATTGGCAATTGCTGTTTATGACTCGGCTGATCTGTGGTTTGACGCAATTTCCCACACACACAGAGATTATATATATATATATATCTATAACATGTAGTATGTATATATATATATATATCCCACACACACAGAGATTATATATTTATAACCACTATCTAGTCCCGCACAAGGCGGTGGCGGAAGTTTCAATGATAGAAAATGATGGATGGCAGAGCGAACCCACTCATGGATCATTGGTCTCCGATTGAGGCTTTAATTCTACCACATGCAGCATTTTCTGCATGACCTGTTCATAAAACAGCTCTGCTTGCAAGTTTGGTGCATGTGTGTCATGGGCGATCAGCTGTCCAGCAACACTGCCAACAACCAGCATGGCACCGGCAACATATATGATGCTGGTGTCACAGGGGGGGTGGGGAAGCAAAATGGCACCGGCAACATACATGACACCGGCTTCATACATGGCACCGGCAACATAATGTTGCTGAACAATCCTTCTTGGTAGTCAGGCCAAATGCCGAAATGAGAACTACTGTGATTGATTTATTTGTCTGCAACTGGCTAAGAGTCAGAAGCCACACAGCTGCGCCCGGATCTCACCAAGGCTCGGAGTAACCTACCAAGGCAGCGGAGATTTGTTCTCTCCGGTTTCTTCTCCCTCATTTTCTTCTCCTCCGGCTTCTTCTTCCTCATCCTTCTTGGTCTTCTTCGGTTTCTTCTTGGGCTGTGTTTCCTCTTGCCCATCCTCTTGTTTCTTGTTCTTTTTCTTTGGCTGCACGTTGCCCCCTGAGGCATGTTTCTCAGCGCTCTCATTGCCTGCCGAAGTTGCTTGGGCTGCTTCTGGTCGATAGTGTGACGACCCCTCACGCTGCATTTCATCGACAATGAACTGCGTCAGTTGCACTTCCAAGCGCTTGGCGTGGTGTTCGGACAGCACAAAGCCTACGTAAGGCAGCCTTTCAAGAAGACATGATTGAGCTGCGCACCCCTGGCTCGCTGACAAGTCAAGCCTGACAGTGGCTTGTCATGCTCGGAAAGAAAGTTAAACTACAGACCTGGAAACAAAAAAACTATTATATCAATGGCCGAGAAACATGCCCTTTGCCGCGTGTCCGCGTAACACGTCCCGAAAGAATTCGACAGGAAGCAGCGCAGCACTGAATATGCTCTCAGGAACCGAGGTGGCATCCCCTGCCTTTGCTGCAGCCTCAGCTGTGATGTCGACACACCGGTCCGGAGTGAGCAGGGCGATCTTGTCGGTCCTTCCAAGCACAATTATAACAGTTTAAAACGACGAGCGCGCCGAGAGCCCGGATTTAGGGTTTGGCGAGCGCAGGAAGGCGCAGGGTTTTTCGCGAGCGCGCGGGTTTAGGGTTTAACGAGCGCGCGAGCGCGCGGGTTTCGGATTTAACGACGCGAGCGCGCGGGTTTAGGGTTTAACGAGCGCGCGAGCGTGCGGGCTTAGGGTTTAACGAGCGCGCGAACGCGCGGGTTTAGGGTCTAACGAGCGCGCGAGCGCGCGGGTTTAGGGTTTAACGAGCGCGCGAGCGCGCGGGTTTAGGGCTTAACGAGCGCGCGAGCGCGCGGGTTTAGGGCTTAACGCGCGCGCGAGCGCGCGGGTTTAGAGTTTATAGCATATAGGGTTTAATTTGCAATTGTCAGTCCTGCTTGCAAACCACATGTCAGCCGGCGCCAGAGCCTTGACACCGTGGACGATATTTGATGTAGTGTGCCCCGGATGGTGCTCGTAAGCCCTCTCAGGCACGCTTTGCGCCAAAGGCGCGGCGCTGGCCACCAGCAGAGTGGTGTGGGATGTATAGGAGCCTTTGACTCTTTGCTTTCTCTGTCTGATGCTTTCGTCATCGAAAACAATCAAAACTTCTCTCACTTCGGAGTCAAGATCGGCTTCCTTTTTCGCACTTGAGAGGCGAAACATGTTCTTCGCCTCCTTCACCCCTCCTGGGTGCCCCAGTCCGTCATGAATCATGACTAAGTCGCCTTCAACGACCCGAGTCGCTTCCGAATTTTCACGTTTCTGACTTCCACGAGCGAGCATCGCCCCTTGAATGAGTTTTCGCAGAAGTGGGAGGTCCGCCGTGAACTTCCGGCGCAATAGCTTGCGCGCACCAGGTCCTTGCGACTCACCTAACGAGTCCATGTCTAAGAATACCAGCACGGAGTCTGAACCTTGAGTGCCAGCAATGGACTTCAAGGAAGACTGTTCAATGGCAGTCACAACGCCTTCCTGCGTTTTGGGCTCGGGCACCAGTGTGATGTACGTCCTCACTGTCTGGTTTGCCACTGCGCGCCAGTAGCTGGCGCTGTGCAAAGGAAAGCTGGTTGGTGCTTTCCGGACTGTCGCCAGCTCTTCTTCCTCCTGTTCCGGCTCCTCTTCCGCTTTCCGTTGCAAAGCGTTGCGCTCTTCCAACTCCTTAGCGATTTCCCGAACGATAGCCTGCCATGCCTCTTTGACTGGCTCCTGTTCAAAAACTTGCTCAGGTGTACCGCCCAGCTTTGCAGCTTGGCGGATACCATGGTCAAATTTGCGTCCATAGACCAGGTCCTGCCATGCATGTATTGTCGATGCGGTGACAATGTTTAAACTAATTTATGATTGCTCAGGCCAGGAAGTTTTAAATTTGAATTTAAATTTGTCGTGTCAAATGAACTGAACAACAGGGTCACCGGCCTCCAGAAGTTCGAAGATCAGAATGCCGCTCTTTTGCAGGCGCGCCTGCCAAGTCACTTCACCACCATCTCCACTGTGTGACCGGAAAGCGGCGTGGTCCGCTGAGGCTTCCTTCAGCAAGGATCTGTCTGACTCCAGAACACCCGCTTTGGGAAGAAGGTCTTCGTGCAAGTAGTTGAGAACCTCAGTGACCATGATCATGGGGAAGGACATGACAATAAAACACTGAAATCATTGAATATGTGAGCTCATATTATAAGAATTAGTCGGGTAGCCTTTTGCTTCGCTTCAAAGAGTGAGACAAAACCACAATGTGTTCTGTCACCTTGCAACACTGCTTTGCTGACGTCACCGACTTTGATCATCCCGTAAGACAACCAGTCATGCAGACTTTCCAACACCCAAATCCGAGATTTGGCTGAAGCAGGTTTCTGCGCAAGGACGTTAAGCTTCGAAAGCTTGTGAAACAACTTCGGGTCCCGAAGCGATGCTCCAGGTCCATGAGCAATTCCACGCATCTGGGCTGGCTCATCACAGACTTGTGGACGTTCAGCGCTTGGGTAATAAAGGTAGGTGTCAGGCTGCCGCCATCTGCCTCCTCTTCGTCTTGCTTGCTGCCACCCACAACGGGTTGCAAACCTGCTTTCAACAACTCCTGTGCCAAGAGCTGCGCCGAGAACTTCCCTTTGCCTGGTTGTTGGGCTTCCATAATGGCTTTCATTTTTGTGCAACCTCCATCGACACCTGCATGGCAGTGCGCGAAAGGCTTTCATGCTCCTGGAGCACAGCTTGCCTCTTGTTGTAAGATATCTTCCAGATATCTTGTGCTGCAATGATCGAAAATGTGCACGGCACTGACAAGAGCACAGCCCGCCAGCGTGCTTTCTTCTCTTTCCAATCTTCTTCTGAAAGGTCACCTTTCGTCCTCAGATGCATGACATAATATAACATGGCACATGGCATCCAGTATGATTTAAAATTGTCATATTATTATATTAATTGATGGGGGTCAAAATACAATAAAAACAAGGATGGAGAAGCCACGCGTCTGAATGGCACGAGCGCAGCCGCAAAAGGTGGCATGGAGGGTTTCCTCCGGAGAGACGAGCTGCAATCCATTTGGTTTGTCCGTGTCCAGGTCAGACCTCGAAACGGCAATTTCCAACATCTTGTCACTATGAAATTTTGCTTCTCCAGTCGCCCCAAAGGTGAACTCGGAGAGGTCCTCAACCCGTCGCCTACTCATGGGGACTCCAGGAGTAGGCGATTGCAAGGCGCTGACCCACCATATGCTGATTGAACAACGATAACAAGCGTTTGCGTCCAACGCTTGCAACGCCTTCGTCCTGCAGAATGGGTCTTGGACCCCGGAGTCCTTTGCGCCCGTGATGGGCAGGGGCAATTCCTGCCGGAACGCTTCACCTCCAAACTCTGCCAATATCGCCTGAATATCGCTTTGCACTTGACAATAATAGGACTTGTTGGCAGCGTCGTTCAGCTCGTCAGTGCCATTGCCCGGGGGGTTGGACTGAGCAGCTGCTGCCGCCTTGGCGGCTGCCTTTGGCCCTGCTTTCGCCTTGACTAAGGCTTGTGCCTGCAGCTGACATTTTTGCGAGACCGCTTGGGCCGCAGCCTTGCGGTCTTCATTTGCTTGCGCCTTCTTTTCTTGCAGTTCTCTCTTAACTTTGGATTCATCTTCCCCGGCAGCAACTCGTTGTTCCAGCTCTGCCGTCTCAGCTTTGTTGAGACGCCAGCTCGAAACATTTTTGGGAGCCATGTTTCCGAAGAAACAAATAGTGACTTCGAGCCTGAGCCAAAACCTATAATAATACTATTTAAACTATTTTTGCGGAAGATGCAGACACATAATTTTACCCAAAAATGCATGAATCCCACTGTGATTTCAAAATTTAAACATCAAAATTTACCCTAGTCTTCCGACTGCTTGCTCAGGAGGTGTTTGGGCATTGACTTGCTCACAAGGTCTTTAACCCTGAAAACCTGCTGAGAAGGTTGTTGGTTCCAAAAGCCTGCTCACCAAGTTGTTGGCTCAGGCCATAGATGGGTACTTGAGGATAGGCTCCCACAGCTACTTAAATCACAGCCCTGGAGCAACCATATTGGGTGAAAACCAATCAAAAGGATATGAGTTTGCCAGTTTGACTTGCATATTTTTCATTTTGGAAACAACTTCACACTTGATTTGGGGTCAGTGTCGTCGTGGCCCATGGGTCTTCTTCGCTCCGCTTCCCTCAGAGGTGCCACCCCGCCTTCGATCTGCACTTGGGTACTTGGGCAGTGTCAAAAAACGCATTCCCTTTACTCAGCTGTATAAGCTTTATCTGGGTTGCAACAATCTTGACACTGCCCATCCAAAAAAAGCTGGTGAGATTCCAATTCCCATCCCTTCTTGGATCCAACACTGGGGCCCAAGCAATTGCTTTTTTGGGGGGTGTATGCTGGAACTTAGATACACATTTTGTCTGGTAATATTTTTCTTTAACCAGAAGAACTGTGATCCCTTTGCACCCTTTTGCTCGCATTGCAGCGCTACTTTTGTGGCCCAGCAGTTGCACCTTGGCCGGGAAAAGCCATGGCCAATGTGGCAAAAGATGTGAGGGATGCCCGTGAGGCAGGTGCCCGCATGATGAGGATGGAGGTGAAGAATGGGATGAAGGTGTACTATCACCCACTTAGGTTCAAGGTTTCTGAGACTTGGCTGCTTCACCTATATACGAAAATATTATAGTTGCCGACTTACACTTTGTGATGTTGTTTGATTTGTGATGGGTGTTGTTTTGATAGGTTTCTTGCGATTCATATTCTCTCTCTCTCTCTCTCTCTTCTCTCTCTCTCTCTCTCTCTCTCTTCTCTCTCTCTCTCTCTCTCTCTCTCTCTCTCTCTCTGTCCTTTCGGGGGTGCGTGCGCTGGTAACCACGTCCTTGCCTGGGGTGGTGTCCCACGGCAGGGGTGCGTGTGTCCACGCCACGTCCCTTCTCTCTCTCTCTCTCTTCCTCTCTTTCTCTCTCTCTCTTTCCCTCTCTCTCTTTCTCTCTCATCTCTGTCCTTTCGGGGGTGCGTGCGCTGGTAACCACGTCCTTGCCTGGGGTGGTGTCCCACGGCAGGGGTGCGTGTGTTGCCACGCCACGTCCCTTCTCTCTCTCTCTCTTCCTCTCTCTCTCTCTCTCTCTCTCTCTCTCTTGGTTTCAAATTTTGGATTTTGTTTTATTCTAAGTATACGTCCGTGATTATATAAATAATCATAATAATAATTTATTAATCATATAATGATGATAATAATACATGACTTCAGGATAGATGGCACCAGGGATTTGAATGCAACATCTCCACAATTTAGATCTAAGGAACATGCGCAAGAGCTTTTTGATGCGCTTCGAAACCATGCCGAGACCAACATGGATGACATCATGGCTGGCGATGACCCTTGTGATATTGCATGGCAAAAAAAAGTGATCCAAGGCAAGTGCAGAAATCTTCAGGTATCCCTGGAATTGCCCTATAGTTTGTTATTTGTTTTAGAGGTATATTACAACAACTCTCGGTATATTCAGCTTATCACTCAATTAGAATGCTATCATATGCTATCTAGGGGGCATAGGTCCTTGTACATCAACATGTAATATATATATACGCATGGTAGATTCTGATTCCCTTCCAAATCCCATGGCTGTGCTGGTATCAACATACCTGCATGATGTGCATGGGTGCCCCCATACCATGCAGCTGCATTTGCATTAGGAACGTCCGATTGTCTTCTGGTCAGAGCGGGACAAGGAAGTGGTCCAAGAGCAGGACTTGATTAACAACTTCGACTTGTTGAAGACCTACTTGTGGGTGGTGGGGCATACAACACCGCTCCCTCACCTGCTTCACCATGAGGCTTCTTGGGGTGGTGGTCATTGCCAGCAGCTTAAACCCGAATTGAATCAGTTTGCAACGCAAAGCATTTGAATTTCAGCCATGGGGTAGCCCACAAAGTTGTGTTATTATAGGGGGGAATCCATTCTGGGTGCCAGACTCGCAACGTGGAAGTTTTCAAAAATGGAGTTACCCCAAATCACCAAACATGAAATATTATGATATATATATATTATTGACATCTGTGATTTAGGGACCACTTATGTAAGAAACCTCCAATGATCCCTTATTTCCATGTAGTGCCAGGCTGCCATGATCCTATTGAGCGTCACCTTCAACATGCATGCTGGGGTTTACAATGTCCGTGGTGGCCGAGGATTAATCAGAGACCCTTGCCCATATTTTTATTGGGTAGCATTTTTTTGCACAATACAATCATGCCCTTTTATCCAACACCCTTCCTATTCAGGACTGGGCCAAAGGACAAGCACTGAGACTTCGCTGCATGGGCACACACCTCATGAGCATCACTCGGGCCACGCCACATTCAAGGCTTGGTTCATCGATATATGTCAGATCCCAAAAAATGATATGTTTATAATATTATTAGGACGAAAGAGTTCCCATACAAACTTTCAAATCGCCCCCAAACTGGATCAGTCAACCGGGTACAATTGCCAGGGAACCAAAGATCAGGGTCCTCAAGAACATGATCTTGAAACTTCATCTGAAACATGTGTCTTGGCCATGCATGGGCTGTTGAAACCCCAAGTTTCAAGCCTTTCCGGATCAGTTTCAACATGTTTCAACCAAGGGAAATTCTTTGGTCAAGAAATCGAAGAGTGCATCATCCCTTGGATCAGAGGTCAGCTGGAGCCAACCTGCGCCATTGAAAATATATGTTTTGATGGGTTTACTATGGTTTACTTATCCATTCAATTAAAATAGGGCTGTCTTGAATTCGAGTAGAATATCATCGATCAATTTTCGATAGCCCGGGGGAGCCGTACATTGACCTACACATGGGATGAGAAATGGTATTTTATATGGCCTTAATGACCAGTGCTTGACTTGTAGGGCTGTGCCAGCTGTGTGCATTTGGAGGCCCAACAGCTAGAGGAAGCATGTGATGACTTGATCGATGCAGATCAGCAGCTGGAGGAGGTGGGTTTGTGGTTACACATGTTCCCACATACCAGTTCAATATATATATATATACATATTAAAATAATGTGGGCAACAAAATGTAATTATAACTTTTATTTACACATAAACAATCCCCCAAATCACCATATTGAATAGGTGTTATAAGTCATTCCCAAAAATGGGTTGTTATTATGTGTTTACCAACATGATTTGTGGCTTGCACCATGCAGGTCGGTAGTGCTGAAAAGAAACTTCTCAATTCACCCCGGGTCGAGAACATCTCTGTGAAGAGGGTGCTGGAATTTCGCGATGATCTTGACGAAGCTGTTGAGGCTCACTTGTCTATAATAATAAAAAGTTAAAACTGGAGAATGTTTCTCACTTCACATGCCTTTTCCCTATTCGTGTTACGGTACTCAAATTCATAGCTCAGGTGGCAAAGTCATCCAAAGACTCACCCGGGTCCTTGGCTTCCCAGCTGGGTCTTGATAGTCCTGCGCCACCGGCTGACTTTTGGCAGGCAATGTTGGAGTTGTTTCTTTCGCATCCCACAATTTGTGCAACTTCAATTGTGTTTCAAAGTCCATGAACAACATACGTAGCTAAGGATGCAAAGGCCGCCAAAGAATCTCGTGGGCCTTTGGTCCCTGATCCTGTACAACTCCCAGACTTTCTTTTGCCCAAGACAGATCCCAGGCCTGGGGATCTTCCTGAAGATGGCTCACTTGCGGTTGCCCAAGGTGCCCTTCGGAGAGCGAAGGAGCAGGACAGTGTGTTCTGATTGCATGGCGGGAGTACAAGGGACATGCGAACATTGTTCCACAAATCTATATATATATATATATATGTATATAAATACACACCATTGTTTGAAATGTGGCTGACAGCACGTAGAAACACACACACCCTTTTATCCCCCAAAATGGGAGGAAAAAACTGGAAAAGTTGCCGAGAAATTCAACAAGAAGCAAGAGAAGCTCCAGGCAAAAGCCATGGACAATGCCACCAAGGAAAAGTCTTCGGCAAGGAAGGGAAGGGTTACCAAGGGATCCGAGGGAGACAAGGTTGAAAAGAGGCCTCGTGGGAGGCCAAGGAAGGGGACTACCGAAGTTGAAACAAAGCCAGCCAAGAGGAAGGCCAAGGTTGTTACCCCAGTCAAAGCAAAGAAGCCAAGAAGGGATTGGAAACCTTCACCCATGGCTCTCAAGGTTCAGAATCAGGCGTCAGACGCTCGCATGGACCGAGCAAGGGCAGCTTTGGAGGAACTTGTTTCCGCCATGAAGGCTGGCGACAATGGTTTCGTGATTGGGTTTGAGGCCCCAGAGAAAAATTTCAAAAGGAAGTTTCTTGTCACACATTGGGTTTGATCAAATGTTGTCAACACATGACTGTCAAATTTTGCACCGTTCACAATTAAACGTGCCCAATTCTAATTTGGGACTACCCGCTACCCTTCTTACTGTGTTTGTTTCTGGCCCCTAAGGTCTTACACAATCAATGTGGATCCAAGCTGGCCCAAAGATGTTGATTCCAAGGTTGCTAGCATCGGTGTGGTCTTATACTCACGGAGCTTCTACTGCAACCGTGCCATTGGTACCCCATGGCCAAAGTTGGCTGTGCAAAGGGGTCTGCAAGTCATTTCGGCTGCAACATATGAAAAATTGGACAATGCAAACTTGAAGGCTTCCGGAGTATATTTTCAATGGAATAGAGAAAAATCATCACTTGCCCCTGCTCAGCTTAAAGTCAGGTGGATCGCAAAAGTGGCTGCACAGTGCCCTGGGGAGATGATATTCAAAGCTCGTTACTTGGCTGTACATTGTACGAGGATGTGTGGTGGAATGGTCATGTGACATATCTCAGTATATATATATTTATATTATACATAACACCTATTTATATATATATTATACATTAATATTTCACAGTTTGTTCAATTTTTAATTAACATGTTCAATTGTCAGATACATGTGTGACATCTCATGCTATAAGTATACAATATAGTACATATATATATATTAATATATTACACTAATATTATTATACCTGTATGCTCGCACCTGTGTACAAGGTGGCTTCTGTCCATGGAAATCGCTGGATGGCCGCTGAATCAGGAGAGGGGGAAAGGGCGGTGCTGCCAGCACCATGTGATTTGAACAAAACTGCATAAACGACAACCAACAAAAATCAATTTTTTGCCTTTTCAGGACTTAATTATTAGTGGCAAAGGCCACCTGCATATGTTACAATTATTGGATTATGCTATGTTAGACACCCCATGTATTATTAATAATCATAGTGTAATATGATAAATTAACTGGTCTTGGCTGCTGCTGTGACTATGCACAGTTGTTTAATATCAATATATTAGATATGACCACCCACAAAGCTGACCCCGAACCATGCTGGTGTTCCTACGGTCCTTCAGCCAAGCATTCTGCGTGCAGGAGTCAGAAGCCTGATCACGAATCGCTGCTGATCGCTACACGTGGCATTGATGAGTAGGGTGCTTTTGGGAACCTGGTGTTTCATAGAAACACAGGGCCAGTTTGCAACATGCCTTTGTAATTTCAATACGTAGGATCTCAACACGGGGCCTAGTTGGTTTGATCCCGGTGGTTGTAGCTTTTTGACCATGTTATTAATCTGTTCATATTATTTACCTTACATTGGGATAGGAAATTTAAAAGAAAAGAACATATTTTTGACCACAGGGTGGACTGACATATGGCTAGTTCCGTGGATCATTGCAATCTAGCATGCCAGAGGGAAGCGTGTCTGCATTGAGCTGCTCGCAAAAGCTGTTGAAAAGGTGACGCGCCCTTGAATGGAAAACAATATTTTTGGTAGGCTGATGTTTCTACATTAAAGTTGGGATGCCACACTTCTAAAATAATTAGTGGATGAGAACCTACATGAACACTTGCAATTGAAATAGTCTGACTGGGTGAGGATCTATCAGTTGGCATTTTTTTCACAAGAAAAAATTGAAGAGTATCCAATCCTCTATGAAAATCTCAGACCCTTAATAGACAAAAAAACATCTTAAGTCCTTATATTAGTCAGACTAAGGTTTTATCATGTTTTATCGCTGGTCCATCTCCGTCCTGCCCTGAACAAAACACCTTTCTCCGCAACCTGTCCTCCTGCCCAACGCAGGTCGCAAAGTGCATCAACCTCAGCCGGATGACGGAGGTGTACCCTGCCAAGGTGCCATTGGCCCCCTTCTTGCTGGGACAGTGTGGGTCAGGGAACCGCAATGAATGATGAACCTTATATATACATACATGTAGTTACATATTTATACATACATAATTTTACATATAAGGGACGGCCCGGGAACCTTCAATTAATGGGAGAATAAGCTTGGGATCATTTGTACACCTAATAAGCATTGCTTAGGTCCAAGTACTGCTGACTGCCAGGCAGTTGATATAGAAAACGTGTTGCAGTGGCTTCTCAGAATTCGATGGTCTTCAGGAATTTTCAGAAAGCTCAAGGTAGCAGGGAATTTTATTCCAGGGCGGACCATGCCGCAGCTTCCTATTCGCAGTTTGCGGCTGTCCCGGATGCAAACCCTGGCGCTCTTGGCACTTGGTGTGCCACCAGTCCTGTAATTTGGTTGCCACTAGTGGGGGGTGGGAGTCTCTGGGTCTTCATTTTTTGATCAGCCCCTGAAATTTAAATTTAAACTTTGCGCGATATTCCCGACCACCAGACACATATAAGAAAACACATGCATATATCATCCATGCGTAGACCCTTTGTGGACACATGCGCTTAATATGAAAAAGGCATATCATAGCGGCACCTGCAATTGCACAGCCCAGGGTTCACTTATGTGATTGGATTGGATCTTCGGGCCCAGCGTACCTGGAACAGGACTCAGCTATGGGGCTGGGGCTCCCTTGAGGTTGTTTATGAAGTTCGTGCTTTTATTTACTTGGAATCTCAAATGCTCAAAAGTGCGCAGTGCCAGTCAAATATATACGGTGTAAATCGTGTTATGTTGCATTTTGCCTCCAGACCAGCAAGAACATGCCCTGCAGCTCCAGGATTTGGTATGTGCAGAAATCTTCTGTGGAGTTGCAACTATTGTGACTTCCTTTCGTATCTTGGCTGAAAGTTACTATATAACAAGAAGTTCCTATCACCCCTACCTTCAGTGAAAATTTGGAAATGGGTTTCTATTATATTACAAGTTTCCTGTTTGCTTCACACCCCAAAGAGGGCCTCTGCAAAGGAAACGTGTTTTTTCAGCAGCTTTTTGTGGGGAAAATTAAAACTACCTATTTTTCTAACCCCCAAAAAAGGCCCCCACAAGTCCCAAAGTCTTTCATAAAATGCAGGGAAAACACTGTTTTTGGGAGACTTGTGGGGGCCTTTTTTGGTGAACCAACCTAAGTGGAAATTTACAAATCTATTTATATATATATGTGTGTGTGTTTCTATTTAGATCTAGATGTAAATAATAATAATATAGAAAATCTAGTTAAACATGTTATAGTGTATATATATATATATATGTATACAAATGCTGGTTAATCCCACCCCAATACATCCAACTTGACACTTGCATTTGGAGCCCCAGCGCTGACTCTCAGGTCGTCAAGGACATTCGTCGCAGCTTGTTTCAAAGCTTTGCCTGATCACGTTTGCAAAGCTGAACTGGGCTTGTGGTGGGGGACTGGGGACTGGTGAGGGATTTTTCAAAAGCTATGGCCTAATCCTTGAATCTGACTTATCTTGCCATCAGCAATACATAATATAGTTTTAAAGATGCCAGCCAATAAGGCAAGAACCCAACAATTCCCAGAAGCTATGAGAAAATTCTTCAACAAAATGGATCATGAATTTTTGGGACCCCAACACCTCATCCAAACTAATCATATTTATAACCAATGGTTCGAAATTCAAGGGAACTCCAGACACATGTTTAATTAGTAAAGACTTAGGGCACCCTTATTTTGAAAGATTACCCAATACTATAAATATACATATATATATATATATCACATCAAATTAGATTTCAATGTGAGGATAATTTTGGTGACCCCCAGGCTTTATTCACTGACCTAATTGCAGCATTCATGTTCAAATATTAGCAATGACAGAACTAATAACTGGAGCTTGAATTCTGGAATGGCAACTGTGTTCTTATCAATTCCCTTCCGCCAGATCCAAAATATGTATTTAACCTGGGCAAGGCAAGGCTTTGATTATCTGCGGGAGAATGTGATAGAGAACTTGCAATCTACCTATGGCTTCCTCAATTCTGTCAAAACGTGTCTTCGGGTACGACGCCGTGGTCTACTTTGGGTCGGGCTCCCATGTAATTCCCATACCTTTATGTCCTCAAGCTTACACAAACGGGGAGAAGAACGCCCTTTTGGGGATGAAACTGTTGGGTTCGTGGTTCAAGGAAATGAGCTGGCCTACAGGACTGGATTACTTATTTGCCTAGCTTTGGCAAGGCAAGTACTTTGGTTGATAGAAAACCCGGGAAATAGCAAGTGTGGCTATCTTCCAGTTCTGGAGTTCCTGTTGTCCCTGAAGCACCTCCTTGGCTCATCCCGGACTGGATGGTCTGGGCCATAATTGTTTCAAAGCACAAATCAAAATCTATGCGTAATATTGATTGGTGTTCATCTCGAAATTATACCAGTTTAAACACATGGGGAAAAGCATAATTTTCGAGAAGAAAACCATTCCATATGCAGTTGCAGTTGTCCAGTGGCTCCTGTATCAAGATCTTTGGCTTTACAAAGCGCTGAGGTGGATGGGAGCTTTTGGTGGTTGGTCATTGAAACGTGAACTTGGGTATGGCAATCTGCGCCTAGCTCAGGGTATCACATACTACACATGCAGTTTTTGGAAGCCCAAACGCTCGGTCATATATATATATATACAGCTAGCATTTTGCCTAGGCCTTATATGCACCTGCTCTCGGAGCCCATGACGAGGGAACTACGTGAGGTCATCAAATGTCGGAAGGAGATACTCAACAAGTCCATGGTCAAGGTTGCCATCTCTAAGCAAGGCAAAAAGACTGTGTAGGGGGCTCAGAAAAATTATGAAGCAACAATGCCACCTCAGAAGGAATTCCGCCTTGGAGTTGTGAGGCTATCCTGAGACAGGTTGTTCTATTTATATCGGTCTATAATCATTGTTTTTTCCCTGGGTTAAATTGAGAGATCGCCCACTGAATAAGACATACACATTAGCTGTATATTGAACAAAACATATATCTATTTATCTATAGCTATTTGCTTATCTAGCTGTCTAGCTATCATCTAGCTTCTAGCTATCTAGCTATCTAGCCACCTATATATAGAAATCTACCAACCTACCAACCTATCAACATATCTATCAATATGTCATATCACATGATCAACCTATCAATCTATCAATCTATCAAAATCAACCAGTCAGTTTACCTATCTCTCTATCTATCCATCCACCTAGCCATCTATCTATCTATCTATCGATCTATCTATTTGCCTACCTATCTATTATAGATATATATCACTATCCATCCATCCATCCATCCATCCATCCATCCATCCATCCATCTCTGCTCTGCGCCGAGGAGTGGCAACAAGGTGGATATGCGCAGTTCTGCATCGTACCCTCGGCTCTTCGGCTCGAGGATTGCTGATCTTAATGTGTCTTGGATGGCGCCTTGCCTCAAGTCGGCCGTCTTTTGCAAGAATTAATCTTTCACGGTGTAGAGCATGATTGCAAAGCGCTTACCTTCGAAGAGAAACACTTAGTGCGCATCGTTCCCGTCAAACTCGGGAAGCCACTGTACATCGTAGCATGTTATCCTGCCCATAATCACCACCATGCACTCATCCACAGCACCGTAGCTGTAGTGCGCAAGTAACCCCAACGTTTTTTTAACCTTTGCAACCTATTGAATTGGCCACATTGCATCCCCTCCCTGAACCATACCGCCTCGAAGGAGAGTGATGCGCCCCTTCCAGATCTCACAGCATTGATTTCTGCTGGCTTCCACGAGCCTTGGCCGGAGTCACAAAGTACGGTCTAAAGCTGTATATGGTTGGATAGGGTTGGATGGAGTTGGGATGGGTTGGATGCAAAGCTATCAATACTACTACAAATGTATTTTGGATGTTCAAGTCAAATATTAATTACCTGGATTCAAGACTTGCAGGATCTACAATGTGGGCCCTCCAGTTATAAAATTGTTTAAAAACACCATTAACTATAGGTATAAGTTATAAGTAGCATTTAAAATTATAAACCATAGCCAATGGAGTTATAAATCAACTTAGCTAGCTAGGGGGCCCCACATTGTAATTATATGTATTTATGTAGCATGTTTTGTGGGTTGGCAGATTCCGACCTAGGAGCAGCCAAAACCAATGTTATGGCACCCTCTATCCAAAAGGCACCAACAATCACCGACCCAGGAAGTGGATTGGAGCAGGGCCAATTTGGAGCCAATCCTCACTTTGGTCAAACACGCTGTGGAGCAGGGTGAGTTTGTTCCTGACCCGATAATTCCCTTGCAAATTGAGCCATCACGGGCTTGTTTTGAAAGAGCGAGATCCGAATGGATGTAGCTGCAGGGCCCTTCAATCTATAGTAATTTCTTTTCAGTGGACCTGAACATATTAGTTAACAAATTCGATGAATGTGTTAAGTCACTCGTTTTAGTTCCCAAGGTATAATTCCATTCAACCAGGGTTTGAATGCTGCTCCTGTTTTGGTTGCAACCTACACATATGGGCCCCATGGAACATAGCCCGGCTGTTTGCCAATAATTGGCTGCCTTAATTCGGGGCTGCTGTGAATTGATGTTTTACCATGACCTGTAGCCAGCCAGGAAAATGAGATCAGATGTTTGTTACGCCGGGCATGTTGGAATGAACATCATCGTGTGGGTGCAACAAAACACCTGTGGTTGAATGTCACGAGTTGTTTTTTTTCGGTGTGGCCTATCTCTCTCTCCCCCTCTCTCTCTTGTCTGCGCAGCTACCAATATACTTGAGGCTTTTCTTGGCTTGATATGTTTTTTCAGCTCTTCCTACTTCTTTTCTCTTGTTCCTCCATCTATAGGCCACACCCCAAGTGCGAGAACCACGTTTGTGACAAAAATATCCTGCAACTTCAACATTGTCGGTGGGCACCCATAGCCATTTTTGGTGGCTTTTGGTGGCTTGGAGCCCTTTCAATCCTCGAGGCTGCGGGGTGTGGGGGCGGCCGGGATGGGCCCTGAAAAGTAGCAAAAGGGGCTGGGTTGGCCCCTGCTGGGGCGTTAGATTTGCGTTAGATTTCGTTAGAAAAGCCTCCTGAGGCAGTTTTGGGCGTTAGATTTCGTTAGATTTCGTTAGGTCCCCCAGGGTGGGGAGGGGCCTGGGTTGGCCCCTGCTGGGGCGTTAGATTTGCGTTAGATTTCGTTAGAAAAGCTTCCTGAGGCAGTTTTGGGCGTTAGATTTCGTTAGATTTCGTTAGGCCCCCCAGGGTGGGGAGGGGCCTGGGTTGGAGGGGCACCCCCCTGGGGGCTGTGAGCCTGGGGGCACCCCCCTGGGGGCTGTGGGGCTGCCTGGTTGGGGTGGTGTGGGGGTGGGCGAGGGGAGAAGGGAAGCTGGGAGAGTGAATGGGAAAGGACGCCTTCAAAAATCACTAAATTTCAAACCGGGTTGGGCTTTGTGGTAAGTTTTTGATGGTTTTGTTGGTTTTGGGGATGGGCTGCGTACTCTTTAGCCAAGTGTTGATGGTATTAATCACTAGCGGTTTTGATTCTAGGACCATGTTGAGGGAAGGATGATGGTTGAAAAAAGACAAAGCAGGCCTCTCACAGGAATATACCCAAACATCTCACAACAAATTGCCAGCAGATGTTGAAAATATCCATAAGCTGGTGGTACGCTTTTTTTTGGACCTTGAAAAGAACCCCTTGAAACAAATATGTTATAAGGACTTTCAACCTCTGCTGGTATGCCTTTTGATAACAAGTTACAAATATTGAGGATTCATCCCATCTTATGCATTCCCATTCTAGGTACCTATACCGTATAAACACCAGCCAGATACTTAATTGTAGATCAAAGTAGTTAGGAACGTTGGATTCAGGTTGATGGTCCCCGAAGTTATGTGATTTCCCTTTGAACACATATACCTGTACATATATATATATATGACACCTAAGCATAATATATATATATAATATGCAATATTAATATGATATAGATAAACAAAATTACTTTACTTCGTGTGATCCCCACCATGACATTTATACATTTTCTTACTGGCAAATCTTCTGGCATTCTATCTGACATATCTTCTGGCATTCTATCTGGCATTCTATCTGGCATATCTTCTGGCATTCTATCTGACATATCTTCTGGCATTCGATCTGGAAGTCGCGGTTGGGATCTGGACTGCGAGGAGGAGGAGGCGGAGGAGATGGAGGAGGAGGATGCGGAGGCGGAGGAGGAGGAGAACAGCTCTGATAAAATCTAACAACCCTCACCTGGCAGGTGGGGAAAAAAGTAAAGAATTAGATAGATCCATAAATATATATATATATATATATACATATATATATGTATATACATATATATATATATATCCAGATAGCTTGGAAACCATATGCCATTATGTTTAGTCGGCTTTCTCAAAGCTGCTGCAGGTGGCACATGTCCAAAAGACCAGCAGTTGCAAAAAAAGCTGTCACTTGTATGAATGAGTCGGGCATATATTTATTTATATATATATAATTTTCTTTTGATCATCATGCAGGGAAAACCCCACAAATTGCGGAAGAAAACCATGAATGAGACCTTTAAGTTTCCACCCAGGATCCACCAATCTTGGCCCTGTGACCTGCTGAGGCTGCAAAGGCACCCCCGAAGATGAAAGTTGCTGCGCCTCCTGCGGGGAGCAAGGCGCATTCGTCTGCTGACCACTTCGACGAGGATGAGGAGATGAGGGCTTTTGAGGAACGCTTGGTGAAAACAGGTGTCTTGGCACCAAGCCAGGGTTTCCTAAAATGTGGGTACCCCAAAATAGACGGTATATGCTTTTAAAACCAATTATTGGGGAGTACATAGAGGAAACCTCCAAATCATGGCTGCATGCACTTTAAAACTTTGTATAATATATATATATATATATATATAGGATGAATATATAGATATATCAACAAATAATATATAGGGATCCCCAGGAATGCCCTAAGCAACCTTAAAACTTTTAAAATGTTAAGCTTGGGGCACATGATGTTTGGATTTGAGAAAGCCATATCATATCATATAATGATATACAATAAAATAATATAATACAATGTCTCATCATATATATGCATGCAATTTAAAACATAACTTAATAACACTATATACTTTTAAATCTCATTAATTTAATCTAATCTCATTTAATAAGTATATATTTAGTATCATATAAAAGAACATGATACTATATAAAGAATAATATAAACTAATGGATCTAATATCATATAATGAAATATAATGTCATATATAATGTAGTATTTTAGAAATGAGAGCATCACCCAGTTGTGGTTTTCTGGTTGGTCTTGATATACATGTGTGTGTAGGGTTCTGACATGAAACCAATGTGGTCAATACATGGTACTTTGGGAGAAATCTCAGAACATAATATGTAGTCATCCCCAAAACCAGAGCCATTGCAAAGACCAATGTCGTGTGATCTCAGTTTTCCTCTTGGTTTCCCACCAAAGGAAATTGCGTTTTTGAGCTTTTTGGCTATTGACAGTGCCACGATGTCCACTAGCCTGATCATGAACCTAAGGTATTCCGGATGCTGCTGCGAAGACTCCAGCTGCAGTGGCAACCCCTCAGAAAGCTAGGAAGAATGTGACTCCAATGAGCCCTGCACCTAGGGATGAAGCGAAAGGATCTAAGGTTAGATCTAAGCCAGCAACCCCGTTGAAAAATGCAACCCCTGTCAAGAGCCCCCCGAAACCAAGAAGACCAAAGTCAGCAGTCCTCAGCGTCTGGTTCAGATTCAAGACACCCAAGAGCAAGAACCTGCAGAAGAGAGCCAGCGACCAGATGACCCAATGCAAGTTGAGATTGAGCAGGCCGATGACGCTTTATTGCATATAGATAGCCTTACCCTTAAAACAATATGTGGGGTCCGGGGAATTTGAGAATGGATGGGGCTCCTTTCCAACTTTCCAACTTTGAATGGATGAAGCTTCTGGATATCTTGATATGGGGAATGAGGAAACCAACCTACATTGGTAAACATGGGGGGGTCCTACTTGCGGAGGCTTTGGGGAATTCTGGGTGGCCCAAATATAATTTGGTGTCCAGCACAAACGTTTAAATAGGTCAGAGCTGAGTGCATCCATGCTTATTTATATACCTGTTTCGTCGGCTTTGTATCTGGATCATTTGATTGCATTATTGCATGGTGGTAGCTTTACAGGGAAAAAATCCACATGGGTCACACATATAAATTAATATATATATATATACACATATATTTTGGAGTTCCACAATGTATGGGGTGGTCCACTCTTGTTCCAAGTCTGTTTCATGACCCCACATTTTTCTCGTTACTATCATCATTATATATCACCATGTATTCCCCCTTGAGTTTTGAACATATATTACTTCATTATTTGACCACCATGGATCCTAGGACACTCCGAAAGATGTTCCGACAGAGCCAACTGTTGCTGATCCCGAAAGCAATGGTCCTCCTGTTCCTCCAGCTGAGAAAGAACCAGGTCCGAATTGCATGCAGTGGTATGCAACCTGGGTGATGTGCAAAAATCGGTGCTAAGACAACAAACAAGAATTACCATCTGCCCATTTTATATTTCTTAGATGTGGGCTTCAACCTGTTTTATATTGTTCTCACCTGCTGCAGCTTCTTCCCTTCCCCACTATACAGCCACTCCGGCAGGTGCCTCAATTCGCAGAACCGAGACCACGACCACCATCCCTGACATGGGGCTTGAAAGTCACTTGTTCATGCGACAGCTTGCTGGTGAACATGACGTGCATGACAGGGAGGTCTTACACACGCGAATTGAGGAGTGGATGTGTAAGATGTTCGAGTGGCATGGTCCTGGGGTTGATTGGGTTATCGAGACCGATCCCCTGATTGCCCCCCATTGCAAGCAGCTGGTTCTCTTGCTAGAGGAGAGGGACAGATTGGGTGTTGAACTGAAGGAAACTCAGAAGGATGAAGGTGTGAAAACAGCATCTGTTCTTACGGCCTATGCCAAGATGTCGGAAAAACTAGGGGAAATGGTTGGAAAACTGAATGAAAATGAAGCAGGGTTGGAAGCCCGAAAAGAATCTTTGAACACTTGGAAAGAGGGCAAACTTGAAGTGATCCAATCCAGTACCAAAGAAGTTCAACATCGGGTGAGCATGGTAAACTTGGAGATCCGAAAGCGCATGGATATGATCATCGATGCCGCCCAGCATGAACCAGATGTGGTTCATGTGGATGAAGATCCACTGATGGAAGAGCTCGAGCAGTTGATGTCGAATTGCCCCACCCCTTCTGGGGACAATGGCCCTTGGCTGAACTCCAAGACTTTGATTTTGGGGGAAGAAGCTTCGCCTAGCCCGCAACCTCAAGATGCCCAGACTCAAAGGTCCTTGCCAACGACCCCAGAAAGTAAAACGAAAGCTGATGAGACCATGGGAGATGGAGAGCTTAAAGTTGAACAAACTGAACCCGATGGTGGTGCCCCCAAGCAAGTGGAAATGACCCAGCCAACCCCGGAAGAGACAGCATTGAAGCACATCAATGGCATGGAGGATGGTCCCATGAAATCAGCTCTGCTTGCTTTGTGCGAAGCTTCAGTTTCCAAGGTGGGGGAGAGAAACGATTCCAACACAGCTGGATGCATGATTCCACTTTAGCTATGTATATATCAAGTATGTGTTGATTAATATATCTACCTATTTTTCTATCTTTCTACCTTTCTATCTTTCTATCCCTCTATCTTTCTATATGTTTTTTTACCTTTCTACCTTTCTATCTATCAGTCTATCAACCTGTCAACCTATCAATCTATATATATATCAATCTATTTATCAATCGTTCTATCTAGCTGTTGCGATTTGTTCTCGGTTTTCATATTTACAGATACATATCCATATACTATATATATATAAATAAATATTGACTGATGATAATATCTCGAAACTTGTCCCCTCACCCTGTCCACGCCTTGTCAGCTACTTTTTGCAGGCATTGTCTTCGGCCTCGTCGGACCTGCCAAGAGAGGCAGTGAGAGCAGCGGTCAAGGTGATGGAGAGGAAGGACACTACCCAGCTCCAGGCCTACACACACACACACATCAGACCCAGGAGCAATGATAAGTCAGTTATTCCAATGAATATTGCCAACAGGGAGAGCGCAATAATAATTTATGAGCATCTCCAAAATAATATGGGAAAAACATGTGATATGTTGGTTTCTATGTGTGAAGGGTGATTTTGGTTTCTTATGTATATAAGTATTACCCAATTCATCTGTGACTTGTTGCGAAGGCAGAGCATCACCTCAATGATGATGGTGCTGAGCTTCAACCAGATGGAACTTATCTGTATCAGGGCCCCAATGGGAGGATGGAGACATGGTCGCAACGCTGTGCGCGTTTGCGACACAATGAGAAGGTGGCCTTCAACAGAAGCCTTCGTATCTTGACTGCATATCATAAAATATTACTAGATATAACTATGATAGCGCAGTTTTCAGAATATTTGAAATACTTCTGATTGGGTTTGATACGGGGTTGCCACCTGTAAAAAATTAATAAATAAATAATATTATGTGATAACAAATGGGGTAGTTCAAGTCTATATATAATTGACAAACTAAATAAACATATTATTTCCCCTGCAAGCAACTTTGACCATTGTATACTTCAAGCTAGTAGCATTCACAGCCCAGGCCACGCACCAGATGAAGTGGTTAGATCGGCGCAAAACAAAGGTCACAGTATCTTGGCTGCACATATATAAGGATCTGCTGTTAAAACAGCGCAGTCCTGCTCAAATCTTGGGCTAGCCAAATCACTGGCAGTGGAGATATATATATATATAATTTTGGAAGTAGCTAAATTAATAATTTTTGGAAGAGTACAATAATTAGACAAAATACATGGTATATGGGATTTTATCAAACCATTTTCAGATCCCAAACTAGCAGCTCAACCAAGATCATCTTCTGAATGCCCAGCTCTTTGAAGACTGGATCTCGAGCGGCAAATGCTGGATGCGGTCAGCCACATATTTGAACGCCAAAAGGTCCAAGGAAGAGAAGAAGAGAGGTTGCTACGTCATGAAAGACAAAACATGGCTCGTAGAGAAATATGGGTTAACTGCAGCAGAAACGATCATCGAAAACAAGAAGCAGCTCCAAGCCCAAAAGAAACCACATGAACCGAACTATGTAATGGACAACCCCGACATCCCAGGGAAGGAACCTTGAGTTTAAACTTGTTTATGTTTTTATTTATAGGTATGGTGCTGTGTGCAACAATGCATTTGGCAGTATCAACCTGCCCCCACTCAGGATCATGCCCTGTACAGGGTCTTCGATTCGCTATCTTTTGAGAATGAAGAGAAGAACCAATGGGAGACAGGAGTGACCATGAATGGTGATTTCTCGGAGGAACAATCCCTAGAGCTAGGGCTCCTTATCTTCAAGTTTTGATTCCAGCCTCGTCATTCAATCTTGCTTCCAACCCGATGGTAAAAGATCAACATGTGCAAACTGATATCATTATTTGAATGTGTATGTTTGAAATATGTACATTTTTAAAATTAACGCCCATATAACATATGACAAATTGATATATATATATATATAAGTTATACATGTATATATGTTATTTAAAAACATGTATGTATATATATATATATGAACAGAAATTGTTGGGTACCTCCCGGTGAAGGTTTTGAAAACCGATCAGTTTCCATGTGGGCTAAGGCCATCTATGCTTCAGGGAGCTAAGCAGTTTGGCTTATTCGGCAATACTGGATCCAGTGGTGATGCGCCTGATCCTCGCAACACCCGTGAACTTGGGAATGGCAAGCCTGGAGATCAGCACAGAGACAAGAAACCCAAGAAACCTGTGGGGATGAAAAAACAATGTGGCCAAAAAAATTCGATGCTTTCCAACAAGCTCACAGATTTGAAAGTTCTTCGAAACAAGGTAGAACATTCACCCCTGTTACTTGGCATTCATTGTGCCATAATCTGCATATGTTCTTTCTTGTATATATTGATATATTTCAGTGGATGTAGTCCTGGGTTGTAGGAATCCCCAACATCCCTTCTCGATCATGAGCATTTGCTATGTACAGCTAAGGTCGCAGTCCATGAAAACTGGATACTTGGCTGAGTTGGATGCTCGTGCAGGTGAAATGACATCGAAAAAGGCAGAGCTTGAGAGCCACTACATGGTAGAAAAGTCAGATGAGGAGATTGAACAGGATGAGGCCATGAAGTCGATGCTCAAGAATGCTGTAGATTCGGTTGAAAAACTCCTTCCTGCATTTACCACCACGTGCAGGTCTGTTAAGCTTGCTATCGAATCTCGATAGCCATCCATTCGTTGTAAGACTCGTGCATTTTTCAAAATGGTTACTTGTTAAAACATCCATCCCCAAGTAGTGTTACCTGTATTTAAATATGTGTATATATATATATATATATCATGTGTAAAAAAAATATATATACACATATCATATATATATATAGATTATTCAATTATTTCCATTTGTTGATACAACTGATGAGGTTGACTTGTTTTGTCTGTCATTTCCAGTGCTATTGACACCCTTTGCACTAAGGATCCTCCCAAGCCCGCGAAAGCGAAGGGGAAAGCGAAAGCTGCCCCAAAAGCTGCCCCGTAGTGATGTGTTTTTGGTACCAATGTGATCCAGGTGTCGTCGCCATAGCTCTAGCAAATTCCATTAGCTGCAGCGCAGGTAGATCATTTTGAATGGAGGGTCTCATTCAAAGTGCTGCGCCTCTAGAGGTGTTGGCTCCCCCTGACTCCCAGCCCATGCTATTGACAATTTGCACAATTTTCAGCTTATGTTTATTGACACCAGCCCACACATTGTACGTAAGGTGGAACCACCTGCTGCTAAATATCATCGACAGTGTTGGGACTCCATGCGGGGAAGGGCAGTGGTAGAGACCCTGAAGAATTTTGGAAGGTCAAACAAGAGTCGGATTGCCAAGTCGGGAATCCTTGGACACGTGGGTGTGATTAAATTGCACCTGTAGCCAGTCCCAATCCATGGACGATATCGAGATGGACCTTGGGATCAGAAAAAAAACAAGTGCCTGAGGGATGGGACAGGGAACAGTCAAACATTTGTTACATTTTGTTTGGTTACATAACCATAATATTAATAATTATATAATAACAATATGTTTACTATCGAGGTATGACCCTGCTGGTAGGTGGTTTTACCAATGAAAAAAGTTGTTGCCCATCTCTGCAGCCCACGCAGGTGCCTCCTTATCTGTGAGATCTCGGTGCCAAAAGTTCACTTCCAGATCCTTGGCGGCCAGCTCCTGCGGATCATCAAAGACATCCCCGCTGTATAGCTACATGCTGAAGGATGCAGGGTTGGGGGAATCTTGTTTCAAATTAATCAGTGTACTGTATTGTGTTTTTTGGTTACCCTCTGGTAGATAAGCTTTGGGACACTATTTCCTCAAAATCTTTGACCCAATACTCAGGATGCCTCATTTAAAAAGGTGCAGGAAACCATGAAAGTTGTTGCCAAAGAGTTCGAGCACCAGGGGTATCAAATGAAGGGCCCTTGTGCAGCCTTGGCTTCTGGAAAGCACAAGGGGAATGTAGCTCGTGATGTTCAAAGAGATTTTGCCCGCAGGCATCTCGATCCTGTTGCTCTACAGTTAAAATGGAAAACGTATTTTATGTGTATGTTCATGGGGCCCCAAATCATGATGAGAAATGTGTTTTACAATACAAATAATTTGTTTGGTTAAAATGCCCTCCTTTAAACTGAGGTTCCAGTGCACATGGTTGACATTCCTGTACACAAGGAAAACGGTGTCTCTGGTATTGAATCCAGGCCCCGGGTCTTTGAATTATGTTTGATTTCAGTGTTTAATACATGAGGTACCCCACAACAATGGGTTTATGGGTTTTACTAAAAAACAAAAGGATTAATTTTCGGTCACCTCTAGCTTTAAGTGCTTGTTGAACATGATTTAGTAGCTGATGTACCACAGCTTTTAAAACAAAATCTCTGATTGCAGGAAATTCCCAATGGTATTGCCGCATGAGCTGGTACCATGGTTGTCCCGCAACAAGTGCTTTCCCGATGTGGAGTCCGAAATACCTGTGTACTGGGCCAACATGAGAAGATGGAACGACATGATCCCTGTGTGCATCGATCAGCAACGGGCGCATCCTCTATATATTTGGGGAGATGATTGCCAATTCAATGAGCAATATGAGAAGCTCATTGTTGTAGTTATTGGCCATGTCTTGGATCCCCGGACGTTCAGTGTAGAATGTTGCTGGCCGCTATTCTGCCTCAGAGAGGCTCCTCGATAAGTTTATTGGTTGGCATATATATATATATTATTTTATTTTCTGTTATTTATTTTTGGTTGGTTCCCAAAACATTTTTGTTTGGATATCTATGTGCAAGCCACCGCTTTTTCTGATGCGAGGTGCTCTCCACTGGATTTCCTACCCTCTATGCCTTCTTGGAGCCAGTTACCTGCCAAAAAAGTTGTCATATATCATCTTAACCCAAAATATCAGCCATGAAAATACAAAAAAAACAACATATTTGAAGTTTAAGGTGTCTAATTTCAGCTTGATCTCTAGCCTGGTCCCCACTATCCCCTGCATCTCCTTGTGCTGAAGGTTGCCAAAAGCATGGAGTACCTGCGGGACGGCGTGCATATACCCGGACCACTTGGGCGAGGGACTCTGCAGGCCATGATAACACAAATCAGGGCTGATTGGAAGTTCCACAGGGTACCATGGCCATGACTTCGCAACATTTGTTTTTTACATATCCCTTCGTTTGTTGTTTTCCTCCAGGGTATGGCGAATCTGGTAAAAATAAATATATATATATATATATTATAAATACAATTAAATATTAATATATTGATTCAGTTTGGATAGCCCTGCAAGTTGCCATTTGAGGTTTTAAGGAACAACCAGTCTCCAAAACTTGTTAACCATAATATTGGGATGCTGTTTTGATATGGGATTCCACAACATGCCCTGCCCAGGAATGGCTAAATCTCAAATCTGGGTATGCTTCAAACGACATATGCCATGCTTGCCGTGCGAGCAAGAATGATTACATGAAGGCTCCATCTCAGCTAGCCTCATCGTTCAGACATACGCTGGAGTCTTTCATCCATGAGTCTTTGAAGCCTGGGCCAAAAAGTGATTGGGCTGTAAACAGGTATGAGATTTCTTATACCCTATAAATTATATATATATCTATCTGTCTAGGTTTCTTGCTTTTGTGAGCCTAATATTCAGCAAATGTTCCATTTTCTAAGAGAATCAGCAATAAGCCATCTTACGTCTAGGGGACTGGGCAGTGTATTGTTTAATTGTTATATTTTAAGATTGGGAAAGTATTGTCCCCGGCTGAACCCCAAAATAGTTGTCAAATAATATCAAATCCATAACTATTCCAATTCCTGGGGGTTTTGGTTTCAAAATTTGGCTCCTCAAGATAAGTTTCTTGGGACATTAAGGCCCTATTACGTCCTTAGATGGATTCCGGCCCGAATTTGTGACTTGGTGCGCTATGCATGTGCTAAATCTTGGCGTATGCTTGTGGTCTTGTGGAAGTACAATGCGGGTAATCCTGAACAAGTACAGCCACATTTGGGGTGGTGTTGCAGATGGCATGAGTGAAAACGATAGGCTTTCCATAGCGTATGACCAGTTCAGAGCATGGACATGCAGCCTGAAACTTGCGAGTCTTGTTCTGGAATTCGAATGGGCTATTTTCTGAGCTTCTATTTGGTTTAGGGCCTTATGAATCTGAATAATACATGTTGGTGTTTGAAATGCTTGTGCCTGAGGCATAGCCAACCCCGGTTCACTTCCAAAAGGCTGAAATCTTACCAGCATCCCTATCCTGAGTTGAGTGCCAAAGCACACAATGTTTCTTGGTAAACTTAAAGTCATGTTGTGTGTTGTTTTGATTGGCTGCTATTTTTTCAAGTCGTTATACTCCCATACTGTCCATCGCTTATCTAACCACTGGCATCTCAGGCCAGGGTGTGCACTGCTTGGCTAGCTCAAGTCACTGTGGAGCTTGCAAAGGCTGACCCCGAAGACACCAATCTAGCATGGATGACAAGTCACATGCACCTATGATGCGAATAGAGAAAAAGTATATGGCATATGGTTATGATTGTCCTGCATTGGTAAGTTCAGGTGTCAACCCACATTGAAGTATTTCTTCGTTCGATCCCACCAAAATGTCCAAGGTACTTCTTGGCACAATGGTTTCAGCTCCATGAAGCTGCGGGGCGGTACTTGACTGATGAAGATATTGCATCTTTTAAGAGATGCTGCGATTCTTGATAGCACACCATGGGTATATGTTCGTTAGTATGCACATTGCATCGGTTTATGTAGAGTTTATTTCTCTTGAGGGGATCCTGTGTGTTCCTGTTCAATGTTTGGGAGGCATTAGGTGAACAGGTATCATTTTGTTATCATAATTCCTTGGTGGTAGTGATTGGTTGCGTGACGATATCGAGGAAAACATGCATGCCAATTGTCGCTCTAAAGTGGCCAAGTTGTTGTTGTGGAAACTAGCGTTTCTTTTCCTAGCTTTGTTCAGTGACTAGGATGAATCCATGGTCAATTACTGCAAGCTGGCTCATGCGGCGGTGACGAGCGGTGAACTTCTTTGGCCTGGCCGCCCCGAACACCATGTACCTGTGGAGTTTACAGCAAGAGGTTGTTGTTTCCCGCAAATCTAGATAGTTTTCTTGAGCTATATATATATATAATATATATATATATATTTCCCAAGATGGTGTTGTCAGTCATCAGGGGTGGCAAGAGCTTCAACTTGCAGAAGCCCGTGACAGATTCCAAGCTCCGTATCAACAAGCAATTTTTGCACACTAGATTTCGACTTGTGCTCCCGAGGTGTTTTACTTCCAACAGTCTATGTTTTTTATGCAGCAATCAAAGGATGCCTTTGCTGATTATATTTACATATACATATAAGTTTATTTAAGTGTATCCAATAGGATGTTTTTATTGGGGAATACCTTTATCTGAAATGGAATTAGCTTAGAAGATGGGATAGTTGTGTTCTGTTTTTATTGGTGACACAGTGTTTTTTTCAGGGGATGGCATCCTGGACAGCTCAGGAACTAATTCAAGAACATATCACGCTTTTCAGTGCGAAGATTTTGTTGGCAGAATAAGTGACCTAGCGGTGATGTGCAACAAAGGAAAGCTTGAGGAGGCAATTTTGCCACGATATTACATGGGGTTTCTCAAACTGAACATTGAAGGCATACTTTCTCCTTGTTCCCTTTCAATGCCCTAACATAAGTTGGACCCCAAACCCAAGTTCTGCATTTATTGAGGGCTCTTGATGAAACTTAGGCTTACGCAGCATCATCAACATGCTTCTATGAATGCAGATTCCCACTAGATATGTGCCGCTTGCGAAGGGGGAAAAAAAGGCATTTTGGCATGGGATCCCGGAGACCTGCTCAGGAGGTTTTTGGGACCAAATGGTTGTTGAGCATATTTCTCCATTCTGAAGGCTTCCTCAGTAGGCCTTTTGGAGGCCTAGGGTTAAAATATGATGGGTTTACTATTGGCATGACCTGGCATGATTCATAACGTCAACACTTCCACACCAAGCTGCACACCTTTTTTCGTCAGGCCCTGGGCACCTTGCATCGCCGTTCCAAGTCAAGCGTCGCTGACGCAAGGAACAAAAACCTCGTCGTCGCCAAAAAGCCAGAGCCTTGGCTGTGTTGCTGGCACTGTGGCCAGCGATGGCTGTAACCAGCCAAGGCCCTCGCCTCGGCTGAGGGTCGCAAGCAAATTCAAAAGTCAAACATTTGACGCAGGCCAGCTGCCTGAGCCTCCCAGAGGCTGGCCAAAGCCGATGCCTTCTTTTTCCCGTCCGAAGACGAGCCAGCAGCTGTGGACGCTGGCTTCACGGGCCCTGGGGCCACTTTGGGTTTGGCTGCGTTGAGGCGCTCCTTTTTTTTGTCGGAAGCCGCCTGCTGAGCCTGCTTGGCTTTTCCGGCCTCCAGATCGTCCTCGGTCTCGGTGACGTACTCGTACGACCCGGACGTTTCGTCGTCATCCTTCTTTTTTTGGGCCGGAGCCTTTGCAGGAGCCTTTGCAGCCGAAGCTGCTTTCTTTTCTTCCCTTTTTTTCTTGCGGTAGGCACGCTCCTTCTGGATCAGCGCAGCGTGCCGCAGCACCAGGTTCTCCTCGTCTTCGGTAATTCCCTTCCGGAGGCGAGGGGAGCGAGAGCGGCCGCGCCGGGTGCGAGACTTGTCCTTCTCAGTGTCTCGGCTCCGGCGGCGAGACTTGCCCTTTTCAGCTCCGCGGCTGCGGCTGCGGCTTCGCAATTTGGGCGCCGATTTGTGGTCGCCCTTGTCGCCATCGTCGTCATCATCACGGCGACGACGCGGGCGGTTGGGGACCGTGCTCGGCGACATGGCCTTCTCCCACTCGCGCGCGGCTCGTGCTTTGGCTTGCTCCCACGGCATGCCGCGCTGCCAGTAAACACATTGCCAGTGAAACTTACTGGTCTCTTTGTGCAGCCTCATGCCGGCTTTGCCACCACGGACTTCTTTTTTACACGTCTCACAGACGTTGCTGCCATATTTATCCTTGGCAGCCCTGACATCCTCAGACGCCTCTCTGCCCTCAGGCTTGTCGTCGTCGTCTGCACGGCGTCTGTCGTCGTCGTTGTCCCGATGGCGCCGCTCTGGGTCGTCATCTTTCCTGGCGCGTTCCTCCCGGCCCGGTCCATCGCGAGATTCCTCGCTCTGAGACCGATCTCGAGGACGTCCCTCAGGCGTCACTGGCGCCTTGTCGCGGCTTTCCTTGGAAACGGCCATGATGCCAAAGGAGCTGTGCACCTGCCAAAGGTGACACGCCAAATCACGACGACGAGAACGACAACGACGAACAAAAAAAGGGGGACAAAATTGTTATTAACACCTGCCGGGCTTCAACCGAAACCGGCCTCGAAGAGCCGCGCGCAGGAACCACCGGGAACCCAAACGGCTGCGACGAAACATATATAAAGTTTAAATATTATTATAATCATTTGTGATTCAATGTATGGAGTGTGATGATGTGATGATATATGTGATCGAAACACATCAGTGTCAGAATTAATTTTCATTGAAAGAAAGGGTGATTGAATTGAATTGCAATTGACCAACTGGGACAATGAAAATGCTACGGGACATGCGACGTGACCCGTGTAAGAAGAGTGCGAAAAGCAGACTCCCCTTACCCAGGGTTATACCAGGCAAGCCCCGGGTAGTGATAGCGTATGTTGCTTTAAGGATAGCCCCCCTGCAACGTTGAGACTCTCGTTACTGCAAACGACACTCTCCTTACCCAGGGTTGCACCAGGAAAGACCTGGGTAAGGAGAGTGCGAAAGTCACACTCTCCTTCCCCAGGGCTAGGAGCATTTTTTTCCGGACCGGGAAAGACCCGGGTAAGAGCTGCGACGTTTAACCGTTGCGACGTTTAAGCCGTTGCGGCGTGTTAGCCGATGCATGAATTTCAAGGGAATAAACCGTTGACGGCAATCAAGATCATGCATGCATCTTCCAAAGGCTATCACTAAGTTGCCACAGCTTGTCGGCTGGACACCTGAGCCAATAATCCCGTTGACTTCCGAGAGAGGTCAAACCGGCTGCGTCCAAACAGCGCCTCAAAACGAGGAAGAGAACATTGATGGACATCCCATCGCCTGCACTTTCTTCTACAGTCCGGCTTGGAAGACTTTTAGCACCTTCCAGCAAAGCAGTGACAACCTGCTCTGGCACACCTTGGAGTGAGCAGATTTCTTGGCAAGTCAGTCTGCGCAACAATTTTGGCACATAATATCCCCCCTGCTTGCATCGCGTTTTGAACAAGCAGGGGGAGCAGTTGTGCACGGCGTGCTGGTACCTCGGGGAAGCAGCAACGTCTAGGATCCATCCTTGCTGCCAAAGGGCCTTGCCCAACTTCTGTTCGTAAGTTGGCAATTGCAGTTTCTCGTTGCCAACTAAACTCTTGTTAATGAACGTGTGCAAGTCAGGATGATGTTCCCTTGCCGTTGGCATTGACAAGGGTCCAGTCACAGATTCGCGGCATACCGCGAAGAGGTAGAGTCTCGGGCGGCTCTGCGGTATTCCCATGTGTCTTGTATTGACAATGTCATAAGCAAAGGTGTAATCAAGGGCTGTCAGAACCTTTTGAAGAAAGGTCCACACCTCTCTATGCTGTTTATCTTGCATCAAAGCAGCAACCTGCTCCAAAACCAGCGTCCGTGGACGCTTGGTAGCGATGTACAGTAAGCCCTGTAGGGTTACCATACCCCGTACATCCTTTGTACCTGCCCTCTTCCCCATCCGCGAAAAGCTCGGACAGGGGTACCCGGCGATGTACAAATCTGCGCGAGGTGCCGATGCGTTATCTCTCCGGAAGATATCTTGGAAATCCTCTCGACTAGGGTCAAACCCGCAAATTTTGACCATGACATCGTGCAATGCGCGCTTCTTGGAACAACTCTCACAAGTCATTATCAATTGAGCTTTTTCTGCAGCCCCAACAACCGCAAAGCGAGCAATTCGCTTCCATATCCTGAGCAATCGGAAGCTAGAGAAAAAACTTGCCCGGCTTTGGGTTTGGGCCAGAGTCCAAGTCTCTGCTTCCAATTTTGAAGCAATGCGTTGATCTCTGCCACAACCGGTGGGGCGCCTCTATGGGCAGCGTTTACTCGAGAAGCAGCTGGCTTCAGAAATTGCTTTCGAACTTTTGGCGGCATGTCATCTACCTACGTTTGAGCCGTGCAAACGGCGACAGGGAAAAAGCATCACAAGCAGCAAAGTAAAAATGTTACTTTCAGGAACTTCATAAGAATGCTTCATGATGTTGACGCATTTTTTCACCCCGGGTCGTGTTTGTCAGTCGGACGGCCATTGCGCGTCACCCTTCACGACTCTGAACCCAGCCACTTCCCGTAGGAAGGGCAAACTCCCTCGTTGCCCAGGCAACTAACCCGTTCCCAGTCAGACAAAGCAGTTTCTTGGAATTTGTGTTGTTCTTGGGCACGTTTTCCGTTGCGCCCCGCAAGACGATGCCCCATTTCCAACCATCCTTTCGTCTCGCATCCTGAAAGGACACCGCTTGCCAATCGGAGTCAGGTCGTTCGCAAATGTTGCGAAGGACCACCGTCAGGGAAGGTGCTTCCTGCTGAAATGCATCACTTGCAAAGACACGCACCTTGCGACGAAGTCCAGCAGTGTAGGACAACTTGGCGCCTGCTTGACCCCGAAGGATCGATGCAGAGAGCACCACGCAACCGAAAAGAGATGCTATCAATTTGTTCGTGCGTGATAGATTCTCTGCAGAGGGCACAATCAAAAGCTGTGCTTGCCGTATGTCCTGCACAAATGATCTGAGATAAGTTAGAAATTGCAAAGAAGAACATGTAGGAATGGCACTCACAGGCTGTAATGACAGTTCTCAGTCAAAAGTCCCCTGGCCTGAACAAAAGCTGTTACACCAACCTTGCGAAGCTGATTCTCCAAGCGTGTTTTGTCCGTGATGCCTTCCAAGAAGAACGCAGGCACAGGCAAGTTCTGCAATGCACTTCTCGCAGCCAATCCATGCTTAGCCACATGGACCGACTTGGTCATAGCCGCATATGCCTTGCAGCGTTGCCGGTCATTTTGTTCGTCGACTTTCTTTCTTTTTTCTGCCTCGTCCTTCAAATCGTCCGTGATTTCTGAATCTAACAGAGTGCCTTCCAGAAATGCCTCTGTTTTACGCTTTCGAAGCAAGGCCTTTTGCTTCGCCTCTTCTTTTGCCAAACTTTCTGGCAGCTCCACTGGAGGCCTTCGTCGTTGTGGTGTTCGCAACTCCTCTTCCTGCGCAGCCTTGTCCACCGCCTGCTTTCGCTTTCTCATCCAACCTTTGTGAGAGCCGTCTTTTTGCGAGCCAGCGCGTCCAGCATCTACGCGGGTTTCTCTCAGTTGTGTCCGGGCGCGCCCAGAACGCAGCATCTTGCCATACATGTCTCGAGCGCGCTCGAGCACTTCGTGGTCAAATTGGGAATCGCTTCCAATCACGACTGCCAGTCTTCGGTCGGTGTCTATTTTGGAACTCGCAAGTTCAGCTGGGCTGCGCTTCAGATGTGAGAACATCTGCTCGCAGCCAGAGCTAGTTGCAGTCCAGGCAATGAAGTGCGACACCACCTGCAGGTATAATGTCAGTTATATTAAATGTGAAGCTGGCCTGCTGTTAACATAGTCGAATATGTAAAGCCTATTTTTACTATTATTGGCCATGTTGCAGATAGATAATGTAAACTCAGTACTCAATCGAACTGAATGCAGCTCAGCGTCAGACACCCCAAAATGATCTTCTCAGGAAAGGACCACGGCTACTTATCACATATTATATGTGATTTCATATAATATGTGATAGTAGTATACTACTATTATTATCTCATAGGTGCCAACCCGCCAAGCAGTGGCAGTGGCAGCGGCGGCCAATGCTCCCTCCGTCGGGGCACCTGGCGACCAAGGTTTGTGCAGTTCAATCCCCTAAATGGGGTGATGTTTGGGGGTGATGTTTGGTGTGTTTGGTGCACGCCGCATGTCGCCGCATGACCGCAGTGGCATTTTGCCCAAATAGAGATGGAACAAAATAGATTTTTTCAGCCAGCACTTTCACTTTCATCGGAGATACATATAATTTTAAAAAATAACGCTTCAAACATGACAGGCATTGACAAGCAAAAAAATGTGAACTTGCGTTTCTTGCAGAACTTCTATTGCTTGACCGCTATGGTCTGAACTTGGTGTTGGCGCTGATGCCAAAGCTTTCTGGTAAGGAGTGGACCGAGCCTTGTCGACTGATTGGTTGTTGAAACTTCCTTTGAGAAACTTTGCGAAACTTCCGCTTGGAGAAACATCTTGAGAAACTTCCTTGGAGAAACATCTTGAGAAACTTCCGCTTGGAGAAACATCTTGAGAAACTTCCTTCAAAAAACATCTTGAGAAAC